TCCAATGCGGCTGTTCACAAATTTTTTGCATTTGTGCTTACACCCCATCTAGTGACAAAGTATGATGGAGTGATTCCAGCAATACAGCATGCAAAGTAGAAATGCCTCCGAGGATAGGCCCACAGGGATCAAAAGTACAAAGGCTGTATTCGATCATATGCAAAGAGACGACACTGTGTGTGCGCTGAAGTGACCAGACCCAGAGTCGCGCAAAAAAAGTTGTGGCAAACTGGTAGCAGAAAATTTCGAAAACCTGCCTATAGCCTGCATTTCAAGAACTTCTGGGCTTTAATTTCTATATACTTTGCAACGGAGTTTGTCTTCAAACGTGAACGTGCATTCTCGATCCTGGCGTCGCAGCTCCGCTGGCCCTCGAGGAACTGGATTGCGCCCCCCCGCGTTGTCTCGATTGCGGGATGCAAATTCCACCTAGCATGGACCCCCTGAGCAGACTTTGTATTTCATGTGCTTTTGTAATTTCTAGTAATTTGATCATCTAGCACAGCTGCTTTTTTTATTTTTGTGTCAATGGCACCATCTATCCCGGAACAAAGCGCCGTTAGTGTCTCCTACCCTGGGGTACTGCTAGAGCAAAACCAGTCCACTTTGGATGGGGAGAGGGCGGTACCACAAGGTCGAAAAACACTTCTATTTCTCCCTCCCATTTTGCTGGTGTCTTTAGCTGGAGCAGCGTTAACTTTTTGGATACTCCGTTGCTCATCTGGGATTGCCCGTGGACATAAAAACCTCACGTCTCGCCGGCTCTCTCAAAAAGTGGTCCATGGATTCTGTGATGATGTATGCAGCCAAAAAAACCTATGTCTTAGTTATTATGAGGCAATGATGCAGTCATAATTCAAGAAATGCGTGTTGCTAGGCTTTTGCTCTCGGCCGGGATTACCCACCGTTGCTCTTGCAGAAGATCTACTAATCGCAGTTATTGTATAAAAGTAGTGCACGAATTGAGCCGTGGTGACAGTGTTGAGAATACTTTCTTTATTGATCAAGCCTCTCATTGCTGGAATTCAATGCTGTTTGCCAGTAGCCGCTGCATTCACACTATGCACACAGTTTTTCGTTAAAACAACACTAATAGCACCATGTGTTACACAGACAACAATCCTCCATTCAGAGCCTCACGATAAGCCGTGGGCTGTTCTTATTTGTCTCATGCCAGCAGAGTGGCCTCATAAGCAAGGGCTCACTATATGTGGTGTCATATTAGACACGCCAAGGTGATTGTGGTGATGCCGCTTCGGTTGTTGACCCAAGAATTGGGTGTCCTGTGTGTCCGCAGTTAACTACGGAGAATATTGTAGAGGATGCCACCTTTAAATCCGTGCCTGACCTCGCAGCTTCTAAAGACCCTTTAGTAAGGCAAACTCATATACCTGTACAGTATGCCGCACACAGCCAGTGACGCTCAACTGATACAAAGTGCTACTTTTGTCGGAACGGTGGTTGGAGGCCTTGGGCCTGCTTCAGAGGTACCTCATCGGATAATGGAAGCACACAACTGGTCCACGTGACAGGGAAGATTTGTGGTAGCGTGGGATGGAAAGCTATCTGTTGTCTCCTGTATTCCCGCAGTACACTGTGGTGCACTCACGGTGATGGTAGGTCCAGGCAGCTCCATTGAATAGAACAAATGCAGATAAAAAGCGTACTGATGATGCAGGAGTAGCTTGTGCTTTGTATTTGCCGCGTAAGTTTTTGGCTTGCTCTGCAGAAGAGCAACGTACTACGTGAAACTGACTTTTCTAATTCAACAAAAGTGAGCTAACCCATTCCCATTTCCGCTTTTGTAAGTGCGCTTGTGTCCTGTAGCTTCTTTCTACGCGTACGGTCCATTTATAAGGCTAAGTGAGCTTGAATCATGAGCGTGAATTCAGCAGGTGGATAGAATTACTAAACCAGCACGTGATCCTTCGAAGAATAACATACACCTTTGGATATCGCCGATTCTCGTATCACATGACATACGAAAGTTGAGCAGTTGTGTGGCCGTCAACACAGGCGGTAACAACACCTCCAGATATTCTTTCACTTTCAGATGCCTAAGTGGTTGAGGCACTTCACACGCAAAGCGCAGTGCTAGGGAGCATGCGGACGCGTTTGATTGTTTCTGTATTGTGCAGTACTATATGATATTTGCTCCCCCTCAGCAAAACGATCCATCGCCTCGGACAGATCAAATGTTAGTCCAATCCAATGATCAAACGCTGCGAACAACGCCTGGAGTGCTAGCGAATACTAAAGATCAGCCAAGGTTGAAGTCTTTGTTAGTTCCAGCGATTGGCAGCCCATCAGGACACAATCTTCCGGATTCCACAAAAGATACTGAAAATGCGCACACAGCTCATCCAATACAGCAGTCCACGACCACGGTGGAGGCGTCACAAAAGACGGATAGCAGTGCTGGTGTGCAACTACGCCGAAATAATGGGCAGAGACCCCGCGCAAAGACACAATCCGCGACCGTTGCCGACGGATGGGAGGAACTGCAGGAAATGTTGAGGTCCCAATCTAACTTCGAAATGTGGGAACAAATTTTAGAACTAGTCAAACTCCAGAAAAGACTTTTTCCCCCACAGGAATTCAATGATATGATCAAAAAAATTACATCTTACTTTCCAAAGCAACCTTCTCCTGAAACAGGCGAGTCCTCTGATCCAGAATCTGATGGCGATACTCAACTGCAGAATGACGGCGATTCGCGGTCTGACCTAATCAAGCCCTGTGCTGAACTGTCAACAACAGACAGTGGCCTCTCAAACCACCTAAAGAAAGTACCGTCAATGGAGTCAATACTAGAAGAGAATACGGTACATCCTCAGACCAATGGCTCGGTGAGCACTATACTCAAGGTCACACGCATCTGCAATGTGAGCTGGAGCAAACCGGATTCTCGTTTCATATACCTCTGCAAACGCCTAACGGGCTCTAGGCGTGTGTGCACCCTTTCTATCGCAGAAAACGAGTGGCAACCTTAAGAATGGCATGCCCAGGATGTCCCGGCAAGAAGAGCCAACAGAAAATGCATTCAGTAACTCGGTATCAGGCTCTGCAGGCCAGAAAAGTCTGCATTCAACAGGGAACGCCGCAGGCCCTAGCAATAGCGAAGCCCAAAATGAATTACTGATGCAGTCACATCCCCAAGAGATGCAACGAGACCTTCACGGCAACGCTCTGGACGTCAGAAAGCAATCGCATGATGCTAACCATGGCCTTCGGGTTATAGTGAGGAGCAACAGCGAACCGTGTTTGTTATATCCAAGCCTGCACAACGAATCACCCTCAGCAGCAGATACTACTAACACTTCACCTCTATTGGAGCCTGCTAAATCCGTTACAAATGAATCTCCGACAGAAGTGCGAAGCCAAGCCCAAGGTGGACGACTGAAGTCTTCCCATACTCAAGGCAACCGAAGAACCTTTCATGGCCATGCGTCGGAGCCCACCGTGGAAAGCCATAGCCTTAGTCGCGAATCGACGAGTAGTACAAACCTACCAAAACAGCATAAGGGAAAGCGGGCAGCGAACAGAGTGGTCAAAACAGTTCGACAAGTTGTTTCCGGTGGGTTAAGCTGCTACGTGCCTTGTCGAATCGGAAAGTAGCCACGGGATCACAAATAATGCTTTTGAGTGAGAAGTACGTGAAAATTCCATCCGTACAGCAATGGATTAAAAATATCGTCGATTGTCTTTCCTGCGTTTCAACGTCCTTCAGGTGTTTCAGATAAGATGAGGGGGATGCTGACGATCCGAGGTTCAAAGCCGTTTAAGTCTATGTTATCGGTGCGTCCACAGGTGTCAGTGCTTACGACCCTGAGAATCAGCAGGCGACGACGTGATGCATCTAATCTATGCTGCACCACAGCGTTGGCTTCCTAGTAGTAGTGCTCACCATAGGAGGCCTCCCTGCTCAACCAATTTGCCCTTATGGAATGCATGTGAAGCAGTTTCTGCGCGAGTACATCATCAAAGCGGTTGTGCTGCGGAGTGTGCGGGGCTTTGGTACTGTGCAGAAAAGAAAAGGGGGGAGTAAAGATAAAGCTTCTGGCAGTGGAATTGCTGAGCAACGGAATGAATAATGACGTAAGCCTTCCTATGATGGAAGGCAATTGAAATCGACAAGCCATCAGTCTGACATTCATGATCACATGGGATACCTATTGCTAGCACTTTCCGGTTTATCTCCGACTTCAGTATGTAGCAATTATTTCCTTTTGTTCCCATGTGCTTTCACTATTTATCAAACTGCAGAGTAAGGGTCCACGGGGTCTGTACAGCGCAAAAAAGTGGAGGCGTGGCCTGATTGGAAGCTATCCGGCTTCCACCATGAGTTGCCTCCACTGTCTTTGCGATTTCCATGCACCCAGGCTCTGGGGGATGAAAAAGCGCTTAGTAGGGACCTTCCACGGTGATGTGCCCCGTTGGTAGGCAATGTATTCAAGCAGAACACGTTTGCTACCTATTGCGACATTTCGCACCACTCTTGACTGACCGATCCGTGTTCTGACTCGAAATAACGCAACCATTGAGACAGCCTGGCATGAACATAATTTTACGTGCGTGCCATGCGTCGCCCGCATTAATGAGTCGAAGTTTTGGGGCGCGCAAATTGTGCCCGAACCGAAAATGGGTGAAAGGTATTCGCCAGGGCCCCCAGTGAGACTTGAGATGCAATATTCATAAAAGTTAAAATGGCTAGAAGGTTTCGCTACCGCAAAATAAATTTATGGTAGGCTCTGCACATTAAGTAAGAACGACACTGGGCGTGCTCCACATCACACGCGCTAGCCATCGGACACCTTCGCCTTACCATTCAGGCTACTTTTCTAAAAGTTGTGTGATACGTTTTTTTTACCCAGAGGACTACATAATTGCTGTTAAACAAACTTAGACAATGTCCGCGGTGACTTTTACTCTCCACATTTATCGAGCCCAAAAGCCGTCTTCATGCCGTGTACATTTTGCTTGACTGCTACTATAACAGTCTAGAGCCCGTAAAAATGTGCAAGCTTTGGAGATGCTTTTGTCATCCGTCGAAATAATACTGCAGCGGCATCCGTTTCCCCCTTCTCTGCAAGCAACTGTGCTTTCATCCAAAGTGCGAACGCCTCCCTATCGGTTGGATGCGTGAATAATGGCTCCTGAGAGACATGCAGGACCAACAGTGGAGTAGCCATACTCCAAAGAAATTGTTTTCATGAAGACAAGGAGATGTTCAAAAGCGACCAAAGAAATACTCGCAAGAGAAGCATGCGCAACATGCGTACTCGCCGGTGCACTAATCCGAACTGCGAATTCGAGCATTTAGAATTCACCTTTAGCATCTGAATATTTCTAGATACTTATTTAGTGGGAACGAGAGTGCTGAGTCATTACTGACCTTTCGACGGTACATTACATCAGTCCGAATAATGTACTTGACGCTTGCACTCCCCACGGGTCTACCTTCATGCATCTGCAACACGCAACTCCAAGCAGGTGCAGCAATGGTAACCGCGCAAACTGAAATATTTTAAGCACGATAGTTAACGAGTATGCTTACCTGAGTGTGGTAGAAGAGCAAAGCATTGCCAATTTTAGGCTTGCATTCATACACCACACATTCGGCGTCGGCAGTGAACCTGAGAAATCCCCTCACTGGCACAAGGCAAGCGGAAAGCTTTGTAGTATTGCATCTCTCTGGCTAAGCTAAGAGCTCGTCCTCCCCATGGTCCTCAGTGTTTGTGTGTACACCTCAATCTCTTGTTTTGTTGCCTCAACCTCGGGTCCACCTTCCTACATTCGTGTTGTTTTTCTCACCTTCCTGCCTCATCTGTTTTGAGAGGCAATCCCTTCTGTTCTTCGCTCAGAATGACGGTCTCTCCACCCTCTGAAGAGTAGCAATCCACTCACGAGAACAAGCTTCTATACCCCGTCACCCCCCAAATTTTTTTTTGCTCACCAGGCATATATACGCTACGCCGTCGTCAGAGGTAGGCTGCCGTGGACCCTAGAGGAGTGACACCTTCAAGGGTTTACGAGAGATTGTGTACAGGGGGCTAAGATTTTACTCTCTGGAGTATTCAGGTATATAACCATGGGCCACAGAGAGCGGCTGTTGAAGTCTCGGATAGTACAGCCGTCGGTGTGCGGCCCGAAGTTCTCCCCACTTGTATACCTACCCACACACCCTTAAACAGCGAACCATATAATTTCTTGGTCAGTCCTCATGCCGCTGTAAATAGCGTGGAGTTTCCAAGTCGCGGCTTGCCTTTCCGTCATTCCCCTGCAAGAGCTTAGTTCTATCAAGTGTGCAACTCCGTGCCCAATGCTCTCTAGCCTTCTTCCCAGGACTTTATTGAATAACCCTTTAACCGCGAGCTGTATAGGATATGGCTACTAGTTTCAATGGCAAGCCTCTGCTCTAAAAAGTCTCGATTTGAAGCGCCTCTCGTAAACATTCCCTGTTGCACACATTGCTCTCTCGCGTCCACAAGCTGCAGCTGCCAGTCCTTGCGAGCTTGAATCCATGCGACAAATAGTTTGTTTAAAGTACCTTGCGAAGAGAAAAGTGCTGTTCACTCCGCAGGCCTCCCACGTTCCATCTAAGTCCCGCTCAAACCTCTCCGGGTCGTCGTCAGAGAAACAGACTTCTTGCACCACACAACCCCGCACGCGTTGCTGCAGGAAACATCACAAACAAAGACAGATAAATTCCGAGATTGAATTAAGGCGTTCAGATCGCACAGTGCGAATCGCTCTTGATGACTGCTTGGCTCGCGAGATCAAAGGGCTCACCCACAGGAGGTCTGCGAGATCTGGATGTTCCACCTCAAGGGTATAGGCGGATCGATAGCTGTGATTTGCCCTCGCAGCCACGTGACTCCTGCTAATGCTGCCAGTACTGCTGGCAGCGTGAGCTTCTTCGGCCCAGTACTCAAAGCCTTGACACTCTGCCGCCTGCACAAGTCTTTCGCATTCGCCAGTGGACAGAACACCCTGAATGGTAAAACAATCTCGCACTCCTTCGATGTCCTTTCGCTGTTGTCTTTCCATGTCTAGGATTTCTCGTTCTCTGTCATCTAAAACCTTCGAGAGAGGCATTATAGTAGGGCCCCAAGCTACCGCCTTGTCCACCACGTGCTGAAGGCGAGGAGGCTCCCGCGGAGTTTTGTCCTTTCTTGTGACCACCCGAAACCGCAGGGCTTCCTCTGCTGCATCTTCTTCTCCAGAAGTATTATCAAGTCCTTCGTTTGTACGAGGTGAGAATGGAAGGGGCTCCATAGCATAACGGCGCTACAGAGAAAACGGAGAAGCTATACGAAGACAAGGTGCCTACAGGTAAGAAGGAGGGGGGAATAAAACATAAGGGTCTGGGTACACAGAAAATCAATCTGGTAACCCCGGAAATTGGTCAGATAAGCAATGCCTCAGATCAGGTATGTTCTCAGACTGCTTAAGTTTTACACCGCTTTGACACTTGAGAGCGAAACGGCCGCCTAGAAAATTGAATGCTGACCACCTCTAGTGCATTTTATCATTACAATTTTGTACGAACAGCTAGTAAATTGATCATTGAACCAGAAGCCGATGGGGCGACAGCCCCCTGGGGCCCCACAATGTTCTCCAATCCGTACCAGGCCACTAAAAAATTGGTCCGAAGCAATTAATCTGCCATTTATGTAATGCACTCCCAGTTGTATGCTTCTTCTTTCGTAACAGCCCTGGTTAGGTTTTCTCGGCGCTAACATCGAGAGAAAGGCTCCTTCGATTACCACACATGGCTCTCTTGTGTCGTTATCTAGAATGCCGCTCTATTCCAAAATATGGCTTGCAAGAGTTGATAAGTTTGTAGAAGATATTAAAGCATGGTGGATAAATCCTAAACCCGCCTGCAACAGGTGCAACACGGGGGGACCTGACCTACAACCCAAAACGCTTGCGTGTACTAACGTCTGTTCACGCCGATTCTGCTTAATCTGTCTTCTTCCCTTCCGCCGTTGAGGACGATGGACGGTCTCCGTAAATAAACAGCAGTGCGAATACCAGCGTTGCTGAGCAGGGAAGGAAATTATCACGCACAAGCAAGCCAGGCGTTGTAACCATTGAGACAAATCTTAGTTTTCCAGCTCAATAACCCGACCCCTAGAGCTTACCTACAAGCACCATGATTATTATGAAGTAGTAGAAACTTCCACTGGGGTGAAGCCATTCAATGGCATCTGTTCTTCGCGTCCTTAAGGGAGCCAGCGAGTCTGCAGCAACCCAAACCCACCTCCACAAGGCACGCCACTGAGGAAGTAAACTACCTTGTCTTTGCTTAAACACTGTTACATCGGTTCGAAGCATATAGCGTTCTATGCATTCAGATTGAATGAGAGAATACAAAACGCTCGACAAGACATAGACATTCACTTCGCAGTGGTCTAGTGCTCGTCCACATTCCAACTTATACACGACTCTGTATGGAGATCAGCTGATGCGGGTAGACACATATACATGGCCACAATAAAAGCTCCATCACATGCATGTGATTGGTAACGGGACAAAATAGAGGCAGCGCCATATGGGGTATCCGCCACAAGTCCTGGTAGTGAAGATCGTGTGCTGGGCAGTGTATTACCGGTCCATAATTGTGCCTTCTGTTGGTATTTAAATTCGTGGGACTGGTCAAATTATCTCTAGGGATGGTTACAGCGGGTTTCACTCCATATGAGTTCACTCACGCAATAATAAAGAGCTGTATCCGAGCCTGGCATGTCGAAGAACAAGCTTCAGGATCCCCGCACGGTCTGGCGCCTGCACGATATAAAACGCACGTATATGGCTGACCCCACCGAATTTTAAAGAGTACTCCAGGTCTGCTTGTCCAACGACGTTCTGATGTAAGGAGCACTCAGATCTGAGTAAATCGTTCCCTGAGAAACTTCTGCGGCTTCCTTTCCTGCTGTCACAGCTCCTTTAGTTTCTTGCTGATCCCACATCTGCGTCTCTGCTACTTCTGTGCAGCCTGGACAAAAGATCGAAGAGTGTCCAGTACGCGTGCTTCCTTCCCACGAAAGTACTCGGCTTGACATTGCTTTTTACAATGGTATGTTTGAGTTTAACTTTCTATGCGTCTTTTCCTCATAGCCTTTTGTTCGCTTCTCCACATGGTGTATGTGAAACGCTCTAGTGTCTGCGCTATAGAATGCTGATTAGCCCTGAAGGTGCGCTCTGCATTAGCTAGCCGTGGTAATATCCTCCCCCCAGCCCCATTAGTCTTTAGTGCCTTATCCGCAGTGTTTGAACAATACCATAAACTCGGCGAAAAACGTCGGGCCATCGTTTTGCCTCTTCAGGAAAAGACGAAGCAGAGGGTCCCCCAGGAGATATTCAAGTTGAACGTCTTTGCCCTCGTACGGTTTCCACACGCCTAAAAGCACACACCTCAAATTATGGCCTAGATTGAATGCGGTAATCACAGCATGTGAGAAAAGGTTTAGTAAGCACATAAAAATATGGAGGCATAAAGACAGGCAAAGAAGGCGCAGTAATACAAGTTGCATTGGATGCCATCCTGCGGAGACAGGTCTTGCCTTGATGAAGCTCATGGAGGTCCAATGAAAAACGTAGGCGATCTGTTATCGTGTACAGACGCCTGTTTTCACCAGAAACCTGCAGGGCGAAAGCAGCAGCACAGCTTCAAACATTACGACTCATCGAAGCACCTACGCAGCCAGCATCACCACCAGTAGAAGCACTGGCACCCAGGTCGTTTCACTGTAGAGAACCTCTCCTCGGCTAAAGACCCAGCCAGATACAGCAGTACGATCAACCCCGCAGTAGTATCGGACCAGATGGTGCTTGAGGTTGGACCAGCGAAGAACTCCACGCCTGTTAAGGGCCCAGGCTACTGATTCCGTGCAGAAACGCTTGTTTGCAACCCCCTGACGCAGAAAAGACAGATGTACATGACAGAGCGTGTAACTTTACTCATTGTAGCTATCCCAGCAGTAAGCGGTACAACGATGCAACAGCACCCCTCTCTCTCTGGAGCCGGCTTATACTTGCAATCCTACGGTGCATCCACGGGGAAGCGGGCACCACAATCCAGCACCGCATCGAAATTTGCAGGTGATTTGCATCCTAAAATAGCAACAAACGGGGCACCACCAGAACCAAAGGGAGGGAGCATCAGCACGCAGCAACATCACTGGCTGACGAATTCATTTCCTGAAAAAGAGATGGACTGGACGGAGGTGAAAGCGTGGCTGCAGGCCTCCGGCCCACTAAGAAGGAGCACCCTGTTGTTGTTCCTGGTTTGGAGAGCTGACGCAAGGGCAGCCCTTCTGCTGCTGCTCTCGTTGCTGTTTCTGCGATTCGTGGTTTCACCCTGCGCAAACGCTGTTGCAGGAGCCAGCAGCAAAGGAAACGCCTGGGGAGGGAGCTGCTCTTTTGAGCAGTGCTGGTCACCACAGCCGACTTGCAGTGCCCCTAAGTGATATCCTCCGCTGTACAGCAACAGCTCATCTGCGCAAGACAGGCACCACAGCCAGCGATAAAATCAGGACGAGGGTCGTGTGTGCAGAAGCAGCACGAAACAGGGTATACGCGTGGGCAGCAGCAACCACAGGGTTCCTCAATTTATCCTACCCTCGGCAAGGGGAGTAACCACATGAGGATGACCTTTCAACAAGTCCCTTGCAGCAAAAACTGTCCCCTGCTGTTGCTGCTGCTCCTTCTTGAGTGCGTGGTCAAAGGAAACTGCGTTGAACAGGTCTGCAACGGGCTGCTGTAAAAAGGATGGCGCAAGTTCAGTAGTTCCAAAGATAGCAGCAGCAAGTTGTAGCAAAGGTGGGGGCGCATGGGGGCCTAAGAGCAGCAGCAGCGAACGGCTTTTTTCCAAGGGAGAGTAATACTGTTGTTGCTGATGCAACTGTTCCTGCTTCTGGGGGTCGTCCTGCCCAAGCCGCTGGAGCTGCTGCTGCTCCTGCTGCAGCTGGTGCCAATCGTGAGCAGATCCTTGTGATTCTTCGCCTCCCGAGTCTAACCACTCGAGAATGTCTGTAGGCGTTTCATCTGGGATTTCTGAAAGAGATATACATCAGTGGGCTTAGTGAGGCGAAAAGGGATGTGCAGGTGCTTCAACGCGACGCATGACACTACAAACAGAACTGGCTGCGGCTCGCAGCAGCAGAAAAATAGCACAGAACTGAAGAAACGGTAACTCAAAAAGGTCACAGAGAGACAGGTAGGCAGAGGAGAGCAAAGTCGGTGAAGCCATATGAAGCAAGCGCGCAAGCGGGTGCCGTTCCGGAGTGCCGAGGATACAGCAAACGACAAAAGCAATATATGGATATGCAAGCTTAGGCATAGCAATGTAGGAATCGAATTGAATCCGAAGAAGCATAGGAACACTGCACAATAGCGACCGGAGTGCTGTTCTTAGGGAAGCGGGGAGACGGGGATATACAGGCGGTGCAGGACTGACGGATTTTTTCGGACTGCGAAATGATGAGGATGAAATTAAAGATACTTTCTCCATAGGCAAAGAGCTGCGGTCGGGATGAGAGGGGCAGCGGCGTGATCTCGATACCCTCACTGCCTGCATACCCCACAGGTAGTTGACAACCACTGCAGTGCAACGAGAAAGACGACTAAGAGACCCCCAAAAGGAACCCATATAATGAGAGAAAAGTACATCGATTTTTTTGACGCAGTAGAGTCTCAAGCGCTGAAAAGAAAGCCTCTTATGAGACACTGGAGAAGACACAAATACTGGCACAGGCACAGCCAAGAACCACAGCAACCGGAGATGGGAAAACAATGCGCGGCATGCATGCAGTGGTACAGGACGATTAGAAGAGAACGCCAGAAACAGAGCAGGTCATGGGGGTGAAGTAATAGAGGGAAACAGGGTGCGCTTAAGAGATTAGTGCTGGCTGGACGGCATAAATGGGAGAGACACCGGCGCGCACAGCCATCAGATGCGAATCACCTTCGATATACGCTAACAGATCAGGAAATTTCTCCTTGAATAAGGTCAGACACTCTTCCGCCGCTTGCCCCCCTGTAGTTGTTTTCAGAGGAAAGTCGTGAAGTAACAATAACCGAGGCACATCAAATTGATGTGTCTTGCTCGAAAAATAAGGCACCGATGGAGAATCGATGTTCTCAGAGGGGATAGGAACGGGCGCAGCTGCCCCTGGGGTGTACACACAGACCAGTGATAACAGGAATACAAGTCCTAAATGACACGAACTACCACGACCACTGCAGGTAAAACATAAGGGAGTTCCCCAATTACGGGTAGGGCCTCGCCTCCTCACGAAGAGGCCCATTGCCTCTCTGCGTCTGGAGATTGGGCAGTCTGATTGGCGCACACACAAGGGAGATGCGAGCCCTAAATGAAAAGATCCACATACAGTGAGTTGGACCTTAGAAAAAGCGGCACCAAGCCCCAGTGTATGTACACTTGGGCGCCTTTTCCGCAAGAGTTGAGATGTAATAACGAAATGCACTAGATAATCTACGCGAAGACGTAAACAGAAGTCAACACGCGGTGGGAACCCAAGACACCGGGAGTAGGCCCCATCCCACAGGGAGGGGGGCCCTCTGGTTCTCACATGCCAATTGGGGCTTTGGGAAGGAGGGAACGAAAAGTTCGATACAAAGCTTCCAAAACACGATATGCAAGACCTTTGCGGGTGATGGGGTGTTTAGTTTGTAATATTTCTGGTTTGCTGTGCTTTTTGACGGCATGGCTGGCGCATGCCTCAATCCTGTCGGGCAACTGTATTTCTGACATCGCCCTTTAGGTCTGGCGCTCCTAAGGTGGATATTGAATGTTAGGCCGCTCAGGCTTAGCTGCACCGACAATAGGCCAGAGGGCTCGTCTCTCTTTCTCCTAGATTCTCCGCCTGCTGTGGTGTGACTACACTCTTTAAAGGCGGCAATGGCCCGCCACAGCAAGAATGCGACTTCTGCGCCCTTCTATTCGTATCATGAGCGCAAAAAGATTCGCGGTGAGTCTCTAGGACTGATGGTTTCAGTGTGTGTGAACCCCATTGGCTCGTTGCCGCAGTGCATAGGTAATGGCAACAGCACACGGCCGTTGCTGTGATGCTTCTCTATTGCTTCCTGTTGTTCTTTTTGCTGTTATTTCGGGTTTTACGCAGCTCTGGGCGTTGGAACGCTGAAAGAGAGGCTTGACACGCGGGCATGCCGTCGCTTTGAGTGTTGCTGGCTTTGTCTAAGCCCTGCAAGGATGCCTCTGGCAACGCCTCAGGTAGTGTGCTGCCCTTTGGGTTTCTCCTTGCTCTCTCCGATAAACCTGCTTAGACAAACGTTTTTCTGAGCTGGCGCAACCCTCTGGGGTTCATTAAAGCTGAACATTTATGTATCTGGTTTCTGCGGCAGGGTCTGCTCTTTTGCAAAGAATGTCTCTTTCTGAACTTCGAGTCCCAGAAGAAGAAATTAGAAAAGGAACGAAAGGCGTGGCAGGCGCTACAGTCACACAAACAGCAGGTGCGATCATCTTTTCCTTTGTGGCGTCGGTCGATCTATGAGACGGAGTTTTCATCTCCTTCGTGGATACGGTCATGAAAACACTTGGCTACGTTTAGCTGAAAAACGCAACGATATAAGATTCCGCGTCCTGTTTGAGCAGATGCCTTGAAAGATGCATTTCCGCGGGATTCACTATATTTGCAGTGCTCTATATGCATTCGTTCGCTATGTTGCGTATATGCAGTCGAATTTCCTGTTTTGTCTTAGGAAGCAGCAGCAGCTGCCGAAGCAAAAGCCACAGAAGCACAGCGGGCGTTTTTGGAGACAGAGGCATCCCTGAGTCTGGACACATCGGCTGCAGCCGCTCCAAACATGACCCCGCAGAATGCGGAAGAATTTGTCAGCGAACCCTTGAACCTGTGGTCTGTATGGTGTTGGCACTATTTCGCTAGGGAGGGGGGCTGGCGTGCAAGGTTCATGGCATCCGGGAATATTGCAGCTTTGTGTGTTGTACGGTATAGGATGTGGATTTGGGATTTGTGCGCAGCGAGAGACACTCATAGAGCCACTTATCACCTCGAAGGAAGAAGCAAGAGCAAAGAACTTTTGGGTAAGAATTATGGCGAGGGGTAAAAATCTCGGGCGTCAGTTACTTCTCTGGAAATCTGGAACTGAAGGATTCCCATGGGCCTCTGAGGCAGCGTGTACATTCTTTGCTGATGTAGTCGTAGCGAATGCGCAGGGAATCTCTCTCACGGCTTTTTGACCTCTGAATTTGTTGTTGGTTGCGTACAGGTGCCAGAGAATACTCCAGATGAACCGGAAGCAAAGATCCAGGAACCCCAGAAGTGCGCCTTGCATTGCAAATTTCGTGTTTGTATTATCTTATCCACGCTGTATTTTTCCGTGGTACAGTTTCCTCCCCAAATATCCCTAGGAAAGCGAACGTGTGGTTCGTGGTTTACACGCCAAGCGGCGCATTGTTCGAATGCCCGACTTCGTCCTTTTTTATCTGTTAGAGGCGCTGTCTTCGCTCCTGCATCTGCAATCGCAGCTTACTTCTTACTTTTTGTGTGTACAGCAAGCGTCCTTCTAACTGTACTCCGGATGGCAATGGTGGCATTGCGGTTTCTTCCGGTTGCTGCCAGTGGATTGTTTTCTTCTTCGGCTTGTTTTTTTGTTCTGCAGAGGTCTTTGTTGCCCCATCACGGGGGCCTCATTGCGCATTAAGCAGCTCGTCAAGGTGAAACCGAACCTTTCATCTAGGGACGACACGGAAACAACGCGGTAAGAGTTTGTTACCGACGGTTCCCACTGTTTTGGAGCAGCCCGCATTGTGGACTTCACTTTTGATGAATTGTGCGTATACTGAAGGATATACCTGCTTCTGCTGAGAACTCTACCGATCTGTCGATTGGTGCAAAACTGTATGCTCCCAGTGCCCCGCACTGGGGGGTCCCTGGGAAGGGAAATCAGGAAGTTCTTGCAAACATAGCAAGCCCCAGAAGTGGCACGCCTGGCGACAGAAATAGGATTAAACTGTCGAGGAACTCACTAGCTGCACAGAATGTCTTCTCAAATGTTCTCACGCTACTTCCGAGGCCTTCTTCGTGTCTCAGTGGCTGCCTTTTTGGTTGGGCACTAGGTGGAAGAATGTCTCTTCCTCTCTTTAGTGTCTAGGAGGGATGACTTCAAAGGACTGTGCATGCATGCCTGTGTGAGTGGCAATTGCTCCATGTGTACTTTTTCCCACTGTGATATATATTTTCTGTTTTGTGCTGCAGGTGGCTGTGCGCGCTCAGCGGGAGGGAGATTTCCCATCAGAAAGCGGCGGTAGTGAAGTCCACGGGCCAAGTCATTCTTCTTGTATGTCTTAGTGTGCTTGATTTCGTATAGCGCTTCGTCTGTGTGTTTATTTGTGTCGTTCTTAAACATTTGGTGCGTTTCGAACTGCGCTGTGAGGATCGTATCGGGTCGGTACGTCAGCATGGCCCGCTGTACATACGAGGCTTTTTCGATGGCTGCTGGTCATTTAGCGTGTTGTGGCTCTGCTAAAGCGCAACTTGTTTCTGCCGGGATAGCCAAGTACCCTGAAACATGTGCATAGCAAGAATCCGGATCGTACAGACGGGCTGTCCACCGCGCGCCTTCGCAGGCCGCGTTGAGCGGCATTTTCAATATGCCTATCAACAAGAATACTTTTGCGCTCATCTTCCCGAGGGAGTTTTTGCGCGAATTGCGGGGGGCTGCGTGCACAGGAATATTTGGAGAAATTGGTCTTCGGTAAAAAGGGAGCTCTTACCTCGGGAATTATTGAGAAGAAGGACACTGTAACCCTCGTTTCCGGAGGCACAGGTACGCCATTTGCAGGAGTAGCAGTGAAGCAGCAGCACTTGGAAATGCAGCTTCGGCAGCGCTCCCGACCACGGAAGAAAGAGGGGCCACATCAGGAGTGGCACTAGGAAGGGTGCTATGTCTGTTGCGCTGTCTCGACAGGTTTCAGTGCACACAACAAGGTTGAAGTCTCTGTGGCGAGGCCGAACGTGCAGTAATGCCTTTGTTTTGCCTATGTATTTACTGTGTTGTCCGCCTCACGCTGCCCTTTCCCCCCTTGTGTGCTCGTCTCTCCACATTGACTGGGGGGGTGAAAGGGATGTGGTGGCTTCCCTGCCAAGGCACCTGAACTTGCTGTGCTGCGGCGAGAGGTTTGTGCAGCACTATTTTTCGTTTTCTATGTGAGTAATACTACAGTAGAGCGCCTTGCAATATTTATGCAGTTCGTTTGGCAAGCAGTGTGGGAGGGAACACGGCTCCAGCTGTTGCACAGGACGGAACAGGCTTGCGTTGTAGCCTATAAGTGCAAAGGAATGTTTCTGTGGCGACCCTATTGCACTGGCTGTCAGCAGAAACCATGGCCAAGGTAGTACACTTGCGGTGACCACATGCCTAGCCGGAGGCATGCGGCACATGCGCAGCCGCGGGCTGGGAAGCAACACACCTAGCTGCAAGGCCTCTTTGCCATATAGGACCGCCGCGGGATGGGGAAAACGCTGTAGACAGGCTAAAACGCTAGTTGAAAGAAGCTCGCCGTATCTGTTCTAAGGGGCACAACTTGACGATAAAAATCTCCCCATGCCTTCCATGGTGGCCTAAAGGCTCACTAAGGCTCACTGCTCGTGAGAACACTGCACCCCCCTCCGCTTGACGCGCAGAAACGCGTCACTGAGGGGCCCACAGGGGCCCCGGGCTGCGGCTGACTACCAAATAGTGTGACGGGTGCTGGGGGGCCTTTGTAGCCGCGGGTCTCTGGAGGCGTTGCACGAATGCACGGATCCTCGCAATTTGTGAGACTGCTGGCTTTCGCTGCTGTTGCAAGGGTGCTCGAGTCACCAGCACTTCGGGAAACGACAGGATAACTGTTGCTGCTGTTGCTACTGGGGTTCACATTGGATCGGAAGAAGGCCTTCAGTGAGCTGATGTGCACCAGTTTCCTCACAGGGCTGCCCTTCCCATTGATACTGCTCGTCCTGCTGCTGACGTTCGATTTGTTTTGATCTGACTGAACGGTGGGCTGTGCCTGCACGAGCAGCCGGCCCCACAGGGTAATAGCAGTGAAAAAGCCACGGATTTCACATTCTAGAAGGAGCTCTAGGGAGTGGCTCGTGCACGCTTTGGGGCAATAAAAGCCAGCAAGAGGCAGCAGAAATTTCCAAAATGATGCATCTGTACTGTGCGAGCATACTGAGAGCTGGACAAGCGGTGGATAACTCGGGAGTGTTTGCACACCTGAACGTTGCTGCTGGACGCAACCGCGTAAGCCACCACGGTGTCCTTTACCATCTGCAGCTTCTTTTTAAACGCATCAATGTCTTCGTGCCGCCGCTGCTCCGCAGCAGCTAACTCGACTTTAGCGTGCACGAGATCCTGTCGCAGCGCCCCAATTCAAAAGGCCCCAAGAGCGTCATCACGGTGCTTTCAGCGCGAGAAGGTTTACAGAAAACATGCAGGGGACACACCAGAATGCTTCGCAGCTGCAGAGTCAATAAGCGTGAAACACCTCTTGCATCAGCTCGCGTAACCTGCATGACTGGAAGACGCATACGAAGCTGAATGGAAAAAGAAGGCAAAGCATGCAGTGGATGCATCCCACGAGCGAATTACACCAACCTTCTCAAGTTCTTCTATACGCCTCGATTTTGCTGCTAGCTCTTGTTCATGATGCCGCTGCTGCTCCTGTTGCTGTTGTTGCCACTCCCGTTGCTGCTGCAGGAGGAGCTGGTGCTGCTGCTGTGCACAAGACCACGCAGCCTGGGTAGGCAGCCGCTGCAGGGTCTCCTCCTGACACCGAATCTTCTCCCTTTAGCAGTCACAGGCACATGAAGGGTCGCACGAGTATCTACAAAGAGAACTCAAGCGGGATACAAGTTGTGCACCATCATGGGATGCCAGGATTTCTCATGCAGCACGTGCAAAAGAGCTAGTTACAACCTTCTAGTACACCCACTGCTGCATTGGTTGCTGCAGCAGGTGCTTCTACTGTACCTGAGCGCTTCTGCTTCATCTCTGTAGCTGTTTAGCTTCTGCAGCGCCTGCTGATGCAGTGTTTGCGTCTGTCCCTACGCACAAAAAGTCACAAGCACGGTCACACCTATCTAATTTCAAATCTGCCGTTGTCATTGATACTCCGAGTGCCGGTGCTACTGTTTGGCGTCTTTTTCAGCTGTGCAATCGACCTGTTTGTGCTGCATCTCTTGAAGGGCCTTTGTAAGGTCGGCGATCGTTTGATCTTTGGATGCGCGCAAGGCCTCCCTTGTCTCTCCTGCCTCGACAACCTGCAAATGCAGACCGAATACGCAAGACAGGAGAGGCAAGGTAGGTATTCAAATGCTTTTTCAAAATATGGCTGCAGTGATCCAATGCAAGACTGCCCTGCCAAGAAAGAAAATTCATGAATCGCGAACTATGATGCAGCAGCACGAAATAAAAGCGGATCCGCTTTTATTTCGTGCTGTTGGTCGGTATGGCTCTTATTTTGATTCTTCTGCTTTTCTCTGTTGTTTTTAATTGCAGACACAATCCGAAACGCTACCTGCCGCTGTAACGAGGCGATCTGATTTTGGAGAGCTGTTGCTTGCTCGGAACCTTCATTGTCGTGTTGCATCGGCTGTTGCTGCTGCAGCTGCTGCAGGAGTCGTAGCTCTTTCAACGCTGCATCTCGTTCCTTTCGCTCTTCCGATAGCTTGTTGTGGAGCTGCTGGTTCTCCATGTTTTGTTGTTCGATCTGCTGCAATAACAGCACTACCTTGTCCTGCTGCATCAGCTGTGACTGCTGTTGCTGGTGGTGCTGCGCGTCTTCCACCTCTTTCTGCAGCATATCAACAGCATCCCAGAGCATAATTTCCATCACGCAGCCTTGTACCGAAGTAGAGGGGCGGCTGCAACTACATGCCAGCCACATGTGAAGAGGCAGCAGCAACCTGGGCATACCTTGTACGTGTTCGCAAGGAGCTGCATCCCGTCTTTCTCTGCCTGGACCTGCAACATCAGCTGTTGCTGCTGATCGTACTTCTGCTGCAATTCCTGCAGCCGTAACTGGAGCTCGCAGTTTTGCTGTTCATGATGCTGAAGCTGCTGCTTCGCCGCCTGCAACTGCTGCTGCAATTCAGCAGTTGCTGAAGAGTCAGCCTTTTCCTTTTCTTGCTGTAACTGCTCAGCCTGCAGATGCAGTACCAAGCCAGCACAAAAAGAGCGACGGCCACAGCAGCATGAGCCTGAGAGCGTTGAATCTTTACGCGCCGTATGTTGACTGGAGCGGCAGCAGAACTTGTACTGCCCGTGTGTACTGCCGCCAGTGTTGCTGATGTTGCGACTTACGGTAGCAAGTTGCTGCTCTTGTGCTGCAGCCAGAGCCGTGTGCAGCTCGTCGATTTGCGCGAAAAGCTGCGCTAACTGCGGAGCTGCTGCTTGCCTGTCTTCTGCCTGAAACTCCAAGCAAGCCAAGGGTGTGGGTGCAACTAAGTAACCTTGTTTCACGTCTCATGGACGCTGGTGCATCTAGGACTGCTGCTTCCGTCACTGTTCAAGAGCACGCATGTGACTTTGTTCTAAAACACAAAGTTGGCTTTTGCGTTTGGCTCACTTCCATCAGGGCTACTTGGCGTTGGAGGCTCGCTATCAATTCATCTTTACGGCGCAGCTCCGCCCTCTGCTGGAGATCCTCCTGCACCAGCTGCCGCTGCTGCTGCTGCTGCTGTTGCTCCTGCTGCTGCTCTTGCAGGGGCCAGCGCTGGCTCTCGGCTGGAGACACCTCGATGGGAGTCGTTGGAGTGCCCGTGGAAGTCACTTCCTGCGAGAAAAGCCCTACTCCGCACACGATAGCCTGTAGCAACAGCAGCAGCACAAAAAAGGCAGCCGACATACGGCATGCACAGCTGTTGCGCGTGCTCACTTGTAGTCCTTTCGTTTGCCCTTCCTGCGTATTCAGTGGGATGCCGGCTTCTACTGTCGCCTTCTGCCCGTTCTGCTGCTGCCCGAACGTCTGGTTCAGTGCAGTAGACGTCTCCGAAGAAGAAGGCAGCGTGGCCGTCTGAGGCACGCATAACACCAAGGGCTGGCTTGTTACTCCTGCTGCAGGTGTTGACACGGAGGCGCTTGCTGCTTTTGCTGTTTTTACCGGCGAGTGGAGCACTTCTGCGGGAAAACACACCACGCGGATGCCCCGAACACTGCACGGCTCGCTTCGGGGAGTGTATACACACAACACACAACGTACGACGTTCTAGCCCAGAGGTCAGGAAGCAGCAGTATCAGCAAGAAGTTGCTTGGATGGCAAGGACAGAGAGGCACCAAAAACAGCAGAGGCGCTCGTGAGCGCGAAAGGAGAAGCGGCACCACAGGGGTGGCGAATTATTGCCGCAGATGCGCCTTGCGAAGGCTGATTGGAGACTTTGAATGTGCTTCAGCAGAAGGGGACGCTTGCCTTTGGTGCCTTGGGCCGGAGAAAGCCGAGAATTCAGCGGGGGAGAAACAAGGACCGAGCACATGGACAAGCAGTCGTCTTCATCTGTATAAGCAAAGAGCAAAAAGAGGCGCTTCAGTGGCACGCCACACATGCAGGCAGGCAGGCAGGCAGGCAGCCAGCCAGCCACACAGGAATTTCACACTGCACAAAGTGCAGAGCCAGCGGAACAATTCGTGCATCGGTCGGCGAGTGCGCTGCTGATGCTGCGACAGCCCCAACGGGAAGCAGAAGAGCACCAGCGTCTGCATGTTTCTGCCCCCTCAAGGCGCAAGGGCGTGTTTCACCTGCCACATTTGCCTCGAGCTTGGTGCAAGAAAAAGACATTGTGAGGCTGCCCTTCGCCTTCGTTAGGGGCAGATGCACCCTTTGCGTCCCTGCCTTTTGTGCGGCAACAAGGCCCGCTAAGTCAAAAACAGCTTCTGCCACAACAGCTCCAGCCTCTCGAGCATCTACTCCTGCCTCGGGGGATACAATGACGGAGCCAGAGGCGGAAGGATCGCGCGGCAACACCGAGGCCAAAGACGTGGACGGTGAGGGGCGCACGCGAGACAGAAGACGTCCCCCAAGCCGGCGTTGCCTCGACAATTCGATAACCTATAGACAGAGTGTGGTGTGGGAGCATTACACACCTATAGAGAGGCAGGTCCAGAGACATCCTGGGAAGCTACATCGGGTGCGCTCTTCGCAGAAGACGTGTGCAGCTCGCTCTGTACCAGTGCCCCGCAACCCTTCTATATGCAGCTAAGACTGGCACGCGCGGAAGCCTAGAGAGCTAGCGACTACAACAGCCAAATCGAACGAAAGGCAAAAGATACGGGGGGGAAAAGAAAGAAGTAGGAGACAGCGCGGAGACACGGATGCAGGGAGGCCCCGCGGGGGAGCGTCGCACATCGAACGATTTTAATGTGCAGCTCGGAAAGGGCAGGCATATTATGCACGAATCTTCATCGTGTCAGGCGGAAGAGAGCAAGGCGGGAGAGAGCAATGACTCAATGGGTTCAGGGCGTCGATAGGGTGGCGTTTCTTTTTACTTTAGAGTGCGCACCAGCGTCTTCCCACCTGCAGCTTTGCTTCCTTTGGTTGAAAGGCGTCCGGATCAGATGAAGCGACTATTGCATCGTCGGCATTAGCAGCAGCATCTGGCTGCTGTTTGTTCCTCTTGCGAGTGAGTCCGCCCTGGGTGCTGCTCTTGGGCTTGAAGAGCGTTGCGTTGCAATGCAGCGGAATGTGGAGACTCAGCTCGTTATCGCCCTTCGCTGCCTCGATCGCAGCAGATCCACGCACCCGACGGGGGCCTGTGCAGAGACGCTCACACTCACAAGACTACGAGCGATCTCCACTGCCAGTGCAGCCATGCGTCTTTTTTCGGGCGTAGATGTTTCTGCCAATTTGGCGGCGGCGCAATACTTGCAGTACACTCGACCCCAAAAGCCGAGCGAAGCGTGAAACTGAGCTATGAATACCTCGAGAGAGGTCCAGAACGATGGTAGCTGGTTCATCGAGGTGTATCTTGAGGGACTCGATAGACAGAGAAAAGGAGTATTTGGTCGCGGCCTCCCTCAAGTGGCGCACAGCACGCAGCATGCGAGACATGCTGGCTAAAATTTCTTCTTCACGATCCCCTCTGATCCTTGTGTATTGCTCTCTGCCAGAGAGTCGTATGAAGAGGATGCTTCTTCAAGCGCTGGATCGCCTCCACAGCGAGGTCACTGGCTCTGCTACGTCCATGACAGATTCCGCAGCCCTGCTGCATCCACGCAGCCTTTTAGCTCTCGCGCCTTCTCATACAAATGGACGCAGAGGAGGAAAGAGCGGCAACAAGGACCTATCTTTTCACGTTTAGTCCCGCGTGAACGGCAAACGGAAGTGTGGCTGAAGCTACTCCTTAATTCCAGATTGTGGAGGTCCAGGCTCATCGATCTTGAAGCTGCCTTCCATCCCCTGCCACGTACAAATCAATGCAAAGAGTGCTCAGCCAGGCTGATAAGGCCCTTTGCCCCCCCGATACCTCGTTCCGCGTATACCTGCCTGGGGTGCTCGTGTGCCCCCTGCGTCGGGATTTCCTGAAGTTTCGTGTCCCAGACAGAGGCGGGAAAGCAACGAAGCTTCATTAAAAGGCGAGGCAAAGCCGCTTCCCTAATTCTGAATGACCTAAATTTGTGAGAGCAAAAAGGAGAGCCCCCAGAGAAGAGCGCACATGATAGCCAAGTGGGACCTGAAGGCTCCAGAGAGTTTGCGGCGTACAGTAGTTTCTCTTCGTTTTTAATGATGAGAAGGCTCTATAGCATGAAGCTGAGAAATATCTGTGCTATGTAAATGATGTAAACAAGGGGAGATATAAATTCGGTCGGTTACTGCTGTGCTAGTGAGGCGTGGTCGGCCGTCAGTCATAAAAATTGAAGTCGGTTACCATATTTCTTCATTCAGTGCCTTTATCAAAGAAAACTATGGGAAGCATGTGATGTGCAGCGTTTTCTGGGCAGCTAAGCACTATAACCTCCTGGTTTCCCCATATTCCCTCCTATTGGTCCACCTCGCGCCAGTTCGCAGTACACCCGGCGACGACTGTCTGCTGGCTCAACCTACCGAGCAAATATGTCTGAGGGTACGCAAAACGTTTTCTTATTAGTTTCAGCTTGTTTATATTGAGATCTTCTGGATGTGGACTTTGCAGTGCTTGGGAGTCTCTGGGGCCAGTCTAGTAACCAGTCCCTGGTGTTTCCTTTGCGAATGCGGATCTTAACAGAAATCACGGTACGGCGGTGTCTAATCCGTAGCGCATATCAAATAAGCCAATTTGTCTTGGTCTGTGCTGGTACGCCTGAGAATTGGGTGAGCCATGATTTCTTCGGCAACTTAGTGCAAGCGCTCGTGATTTGAAGTCTTCAATTTTTACTGCAGGGAGCCTAGAAGTGCATACAGTTTAATACGCACCATAGAGCTTCCATGAGGAAAGGCGTAGCCCAATTACCGATAGAAAACTTAATAGGAAACTCCTAAGTGTTCCTCGCAAGTGCTTCCTCGGCTCGCTGCTCTTCCCCCACAAGATTCCAGTTTTGAGGAGGAAGGACGCCTGTGGCACCCCATATATGCAGCGAGCACAACCACATTTAAACGCTTCCAAATACTCTGGCTATATATATATATATATTCGTGAAGATCAATAAAACAATCCTCCACATGCTTTGCTGTTTCGTATACCCTCTCCGCTTCCGATTCTATAAACTCGAAACAAGAAGACGCATTGTGCTGTCTACGTATGGCCTAGGCGACTAGCTGTGAGTTTGTGGGCAGAGCGCTAAGAGGAAGTAGCTATGAGCATTGTTGCTGCCAGTCTCCCTTCATGCTGAGGATTTTTAGGGGCCCGGGCATGTGAAGGCGAGATTGGTATTGAGAAACGCTTGATAACTTTGACTATGCGTGCATTGCATCTGGAGTTAAGTGCCGCTTGAGAGCTTTTATAAAGCATTACAGCTGGCAGGTTCGTTTGCTTCGATCCAGCTGTTCTCCGCGAATCCAATGGCTGAGGATGCACGGGAATGTATGGCTTTCCTACAAGAGGCTGTGGCTTCTGTAGAAATTTTTCTAGCTCCCTAATCTGATTGCTTGACGCCAGGCTTCAAGAATAGTCTTTTGTCGGTGGAAGTTGAAGGTGTTACAACTGAATGGGATGCCAGAGGCTGCCCTGCGAGCCGATGCGGACGCAGTTGATCCACAGCTGGTAGAGACGCATTATTCGCTAGCCAATGAAGCGTTCATGGATTTTTTGGCTATCCTGCCCAGAAAACTATGAAATACTTCTGGAAGGACAAGTGCTGAAAGAGTTCATCATCCACTTGGAGAGTTATCTCGCTTTGTTCTCCTAGATCAACAGAAATAAGTGCTCCATTATGCATGTTTATTGAGAAGTAAAGCGTGCTAATGGTGGCCCCCTTTCGGCAGAAGAATTCGTGTACCTGCAAAGATTTTTACAGATCGAGCCTATACTCAACAGCAAGTTTAATAGAATTGAGAATATTGAAGCAGGAAAGTTTATCAGCAAATAAGTATGTCGGGAATATGAAACTCTGCTTTGCAAAAGCCACAACATAGCTGCTTAATTAGTGGTCCATCTTAGCTCTGTCATTTCAGGTGGTCACAGGATGGGCAGCGACTTCGCGAGTAGACAAAGGAGTGGTGAAGGTTCCACAATGATGGACTACTCAAGGGTCCAGGAATCAACGCGAGCAAATTCAAAGTGTTTGGCTGAAGCAAGAAGCCAAATCAGAATTCAATATGCCCGGGCTGTGCTAAATTGGCTTAGCCTCACTGGCGAAGGGGAAAGTAAAATATCAGGGGAAATACCCGTTTTCATGCAGCGCTAGACAACCTCCCAACACCGCTCTTGCTTCTGTTAGGATAAACTGGGTCACGTTAACTGGAACTACAAGCAAATACAGAACTGGCAAGAAATTGGATCACGGGAATTCTTCAAGCAAAAGCAGACTGCTGGGCTAGCAAATGAGGCGCATCAGAGAACCGAAAAGTCCGCCACGCAAACCGCGGGGTAGTGGAGGCAACCGAGACAGAGAAGAGGATCAAGCTGAAGTTGAAGTTTCTCAACAGGTTGATTTCGCACCCACGCACACTTACATTCATTGTCAAGAAATACTGGCGCTACTTGATGCTGGATGTATCATCCGAGGCGGTGGTTTAGTAGTGTAATCTACTGTTTCGATCATTATCGCAGTCTCGAAGGCTCAGCTGTGCTGACGGGTATCAGGATCCAGTGACCGGCAAAGCTACAGCAAGTGGATGCCACTACAAATTTGAATTGGGTCCTGTTAAAATAGCCTATAAGTTCTGTGTTGGACGCATGCACTATGATTCTGGTATAATTCTAGGTAAGCCACCGCTAATCCAATGGAGCTGCTGTGAGGGCACAGCTGCGCACTCCTGAGGTCAGTGTTTAGGGAGGTACTAGAAAGAGCAACTCTTGGTTTCCTTAGTGAGGTGCCTTCCACCAATGGTGAGTGGTGTAGAATCGATGCTTTATAAGGTGAGACAGAGCCGATGTGCAAGCGGCTCGGCAGCGCAGCAAGAGCCGGCGGTTTTGCAGATGCATACTGACTCCCTGGCTGTTGCAATATAGTTCGTTAGTAGAGAATTTGACCGACCTTTCGGCTGGGGAATAGCATGAATGCACAAAGATCAAAAGGGGTCTCGCGGATGTGATGAATAGTGACGAGCTGCCAGCAGGCTGGACACCTGATGGTCGTAAAACGTACCGTATTGGACTAATCGCTAGCTCAGGCCCAAGCTGCTTCCTATAATGTCAGAAATCCAAACTTCGTAGAAAGTCAACTAAGCAACTGGTAGAAAGTTTGTTAAAAATGGCAGTGTGCAGGAGCACATTAGCACTGTTAGGCGTCGTCCGAGGATAGTGTCTTGCAAGCGGAAAGCGAAGCGTGTGTGTTTTCCTTAAGCCCATGAACAAGACCACTGATAAACAAATGTTCCCGATGCCCCACGCTGACTAATTTCCTGACGAACTACACGAATTCAAGGTTTAGTCAACATTTGACTTCGCAGATGCCCTCTTACAATTCCCTACACATCCTGATGCCCGGCACAAAATACTTTGGAAGGCCGAGTACACCTGTTTGCACTAAGAATTCAAGTGATTCGATGAATGACAGCTCGCTGGTTCTACATGGACAAAGTCTCATTCTCCAGCGCTCGAGAGTAGCTACAGCACCAAAGTTACGCGCCTGAGCCGTTCTGGGCCAAGCAGTGGTCTGTACAGGCAGTCCATTGTTGTTATCCCATGAAAACAAGACATGCGAAAACTGAGCCAGACCCAGCAAAAATAGGTCCCAAAGGGGGCGATAGGATTTTCTATGCCCTAGCATATTTCTAACAAAATTCCATTCGTGAAACCCCTCGGATTGCTACTCCTTTAACGAACCCACCTAAGAAAACGCAGCCTGGGACTTAGACAGAGGATGCTGAGGCTGCAACACGGACTCTTCTCAAGTCCGGTACTCTCACTGATCGTGTCTGAGTGTCACGACTTCCGAAAAACCGACGCCAGTAGTGAAGCAGTCGCGTTATTCTCTCTAAGATTTCTGCGAAGCACAAAATCATGGGCAAGGGGTTCTATGCAGTGTGTTGAAAAAATGCCAGCACTTTTTGTACGGATGTTAGCTTACTTTCCTAACAACACATAATTTATAATGCACCTAATAAAGAGTTTTGAGAACTTTGTCAATACTTAGAGCTGTTCGCTGGCTCGGGCGCCTCCTCAAGTAGGACTCTACAGTGAAGTACACTGGAAGACGATTTTTGCAGAGCACATGATCATATCCTTCTACGCCATCGCAAAGCTTTACTAAACAATGGAAAAGCTATTATGATTTGTCTGGTGACCTGGGATGGATTCCGCGGGTGAAGAGCGAAGGTCAAAATGTCAGCAGCTGAAGCCGCACATTGCTCCTGAAAACCTGGTGCCTTGCAGGGCCATTTCAGTCCTTGGACTGCTGAAGGTCGAGGGTCCGGATGGTTGCTGTGGAGTTGTTGATTTTGGAGATAATGCTCACGTATCTTCTCCTCCAGCTCTGTGCGACTCAGCAAGTGACTCATTTTTAAACTCATGTATGGATGCTTCACGAATTCCCCAAGTGAATCATTCCTTGAGGCAGGGACTCGAAGCTCGTGTGCATATTGACGATAATATGACAAGTGTGGACCACCCTAAAGCAGCTGGACAGGTGCAGTACACCAACTGCACACTGCGCGTTATGTGGGACTCTGTGCTCACACTTGTGCGATTTCTTGGTTTGTTGTTCTTGCTTGTACTGACTACGTTCATAATACAAGACAATCACCTATCTGTTGTCTCCCGCATTGTCGGTCGACAATGAGGGGCCCCCTCCGTTCCCGGCTTGGACGTGGTGGCTTGGTTCAGCAGCCACTATTACCAGCTGAATGACTTAGGGAACTGCTGTCTAGTGCACCCCACTGTACGCTCAAAGCTCAGAAAGGACAAATACAGGAACATCGAAAGCAGCGGTCGGTTGTGCATCATGAGCCTAATGATGCGGTTCCTGTTGATCGTCAGGCCTCGCGAGGTCAGCCCAAAGATGACCAAACGGCGCTTGCGGCCAGGTGGCGAGTACCTTTTGCCAGCCTCACACAAATCATGGCTCCTTACGCTTACGATTTTCCTACATCGCAAGTGTTACATAACTATCAATGTGAGCTTCTTGAAGAAGCTTCAAAGATCCTCAAATTATTTGCGGAATTCCCCACACAGGCAAGTGACCCGTTTCGAGAGGGAGGGTTCAGAGGTAGCTGAAATTGTGCCGGATTTATGGATTATCGTACACCGAGCACATGCTAGACGAGAGCTTCTAGTGGCATGGGCTAGGTAACGCCAACCTGAGCTTTTTAGAGAGGAGTAGCCACGGGCTTCGTTTTCTGAGGGAGACTTAGCAGTGCTTTTGTGTTCACAACGCCACGCGCTGTGGACGGCATTCCTCGTGATAACTGTCCTATCCCAGGGTGTGCTCTACCCGAATAGCTCTTGTCATTTATACGCATTGTGTGACAAGTAACCAATAAGATATTCTTAACAATGTTACTGGGTGGGCAAAAATTCTGTCTCTACATTCTTTCTTTTGCCCCCCCTCGGTCTCTGAAATCGACTTTGATGTATGCACCAGCTGTACTGGAGTGCGCATGTAGCTCAATGAGGCGCGAAGGCATCGCTGAAGTAGTGCGTAATTCGATTCCCTTTACTTATTTTACTTGTTTTCTGTTTGCTTATAGAAGGAAACTCTCACTTTCCAGCGCTTTGATGACTGCGAGCCAGCGCGCCCCTGCGGTCTTTCTTGTGTAATCACTCATTTTTCGCTTACTAGTGTGCTGTTCTCTCTTCCCACCCAATTAAAGTGAGCGGCTGATGCACACCTCTGCTGTTCTAATTTGCACTATTTTCTTGTTCCTGCCTGCATGAGTGTGTCGATAGGGTAGAACCCTTCTGCTGTCCGGCATGTATTCGGTCTTGGCGCACAGGTAGGGAACAATAGGACGCGTTTTTTTATCTGCAACGGAAAGATCTAGCAGGCTAAGCTACACCTGAGCATTTCCAAATACAGTAGTTACGATAAGCAAAAACTTCGAAAGCACTGACTAATTGGTTTAACTGTTCGTGTATCTTACCAATCACGACATAAGTTCCTTTCCGCCCCAGAAGAAGCAATGCTGTGTGCGTCTCCGCAAGGTGCTGTGTGCGTCTAGCAGCGATTGCTCGGAGTGTTTCGAGGGTGCAGCTGCACAACGCTAGCTCTCCCTCTCTTTTCTAATCTACCGAACTTTGAGGGGCACAGGAATGGGAAGACGAGAGTCGGCCTCACAAACACTCAATAGCTCTAAAAGCTTGCATCGAGTCCGTTGTTTCGTGTCTCCCTAAGAATACTTCAGATGAGCCGTTCCACGCTGCATGTAGCGAGCAAGCAACAACACTGACCCCCATTCTATTGATATAAATCTACTCTGCAACAAATATACATATATATATGAAGATCATTATTGAACATTTAGCTCTTTATTAATTCTTTGTGAAATATAGCTAGTGTAGTAGAAAGTGCCTAAGCCTAGCAGAGCCAACTACAGGGAGGCTAAAACGAATAGATAAACCAGTCTTGCAAGAGAATGGCTACTATGTGCACAGCATGCATGAAATAATACTGTTAAGGGAGCACTAGCGAGCACCGCATGGCGATAACATTGTTTTATTGGGCAATACATACCATAGCACTCACTGGACCGCCTACACTTTCTCCAGTGTAGTTTTAACGCGGGGACAATAGCTCTGCAACTATAATGAACCTGCTTTCAGGTGTACAAATACTATCTTACGCCAACCAAAGGGGTCCTTTGAGTGTATGCTAGTACTCCTAAATGAGACTGGTTTCCACGCCGAGAACTTTGCTTGCACCATTTTATGCCATGAATTGAGCCGCCGAAGAGATGCGATGGTCCTACTCACACGCATAGTGGTACGGCTGTGATTACTGGCTTAGCGATCAAGGTTCTAAGTCAAGTTTTTTTCCTCCTTTAAAACATTGCTCATCGCTAGAGGAGTTCGTCAGCTCACAGCGTCCCTCGATTTGGGTACCTCCAGCGTTTCGCATAGTCAATATCCAAGGAACTCTACCACCATTCCAGTCCACAATAACGAAATCTCCTTAAAACGCATCTTAAGGATATTTAACGCACTGATCTGGTAGGCAGTGTGTCCATGATTGTGGAGACTGCCACAGCCCCGTGACCCCTCAATCGCCTGTCTTGCCAGCTTCTACTTTAAGGCTTTGCCCGTGCATTGGAACCTTACGTCCAGCACTAATCCATGACTCTGATTCCTACTCCCTCAGCGCGCAGCGGTATGTGCAAGCTCGAGTCGTTCCCCTATCCATCGAGCAAAAACGCCGCGCGTCTTACACGACTAGGGCATTGCGTCACCGAAAACTCAGAGCCCTACCCTGGAAATCCTGGCCTTTGAAGCCGACACATCATTCCACCATTTGCAGTCTATATATATGTATGTATGCGAGTATCCGGAGCACCCATGCAAAGCCGCAAGGCCGGTGGGGGACTGACCTCCGAGACTCTCTAGCTCCTCAGCTCATGTAACCCTCCACTCTTCACCAAATTGAACCACTCCACTCTTGGAGATACTCATTCTGGCCAAAAGGTGCCTATGGATGCCTCCATTGGGGAATACGCCTCCAGGGACCCCAGGAGGCGCCCTCCTGACATCCAAATCGAGAAGCACTATGTATTTAGTACTTCCCTCCAGAATTTGCAGCTCGAGGGGCCCCTCATTCCTGGGAGCGACCCTCCTTGCAGCCACTGCCGCAGCAAGCGGCTCAAGTGCATCTGCGATGCTGTGCAGCTAGTCGGCAAGTACGTGTTCTCGAGCAGCAGCCTTGCAGCAGGCACACCCGATGAGCACCCACCCAGCAGCGAGCCCAGCAGTATGGCTCGCTTGCAAGTCACAGCAACAGCAAGTGGCTGCGCTTCCATGTTCGTAGTCTCAACGTGCAGAGCTTCTCCTGTGTGTGCCCTTTCCAGCACCCCCGCATACGAGACCCCCGAGCTGGGCGAAGTCAGTAGACGGCTGGAGCGGAGTCGCGAGGCGCTGTCGGATATCCCCATAGACGAGTGGAAAAGGCACACAGCCAAGACAGACGTCTTCAAGAAGGTGATTCCGACAATCAAGCAAAAAGTAAGGCCATCATGCTCCTACTGCCCGGCACGCGCGCCGCACGTGCATCCACGCGTGTTCGGGTCCTGCGCGGAAGGGCTCCTGCTTCTTGTGCTCGTGCGAATCGGCGTATCTTCTTGCCACTTTCCCTCTCCTCTGCCGCCACCACATGGCTCTTTTCGGCAGACCCCACTCGCACACACGTTGCACAGGTCTTAGACAAGGATGGACACTGTCCCGAACTCTTGATTAACTCCTGGACGAAGCTGTACGAGGTGTTGACTAAGACGCCGATCCTTAAGCGCAGACTGAAGCACTTGCAACAACTGGAGCCGAAGCAACCCCGTGTGCTCAAGAGCATTCACCTCTGTGAATGCCCGGGGGGCTTTGTCGCCGCCACTAACCATTTCATCAAGACTGAAGCCAGTGCGAAAAAAACAGCGCTAGCGTCACGGAGTGGCTATCACAGAGGGATGCTGAAGGAGCCAGTCCTGCTTCTGGTGCTTCTGCTGTAGCATGCGCATATGCTTTTTTCGGAGCATGGGGGTGGTGCCGTCGTAGAGGCCGCATCCTGCCCCGCCGTGTGCGGGCTTCTACGCATCTGTCCTTTGTTTTTGCCGTGATCTGCTGCTTCCACTGCCGAGCTTCCTTCGGGCTCTCTGCCCGTGTGGCCTTCTTTCTTCCACTGCCTCACGTGTGTGTGTATGTGTGTGTCTGCATGCGCTCCAGAAGGCGTGCTTTTCTCCTGGCGTGCTGCTTCCCTGAATCCATACTTTGAGGGCTGCAACCCGCTGGAGGCTCTGGATGACGACGGCCTCTACAGGCACACAGAGAGGCGCTGGATCACCAGTCCTGATGGAAGCGGAGATCTCAGGAGCAAAGAGAGCATAGAATTTCTCTGGAAACAGCTCACCCGACAAACGCAGAATGGGGTCCCACCGTTCGGGCTGGTGAGATATGCACATTTAGGGGGGCTCATGGTGGAGAGTTCCAGACTTGAAAATTTAGTGGCTACAGTGTAAGGGGCTAAGCAGTGCGTTTCGATGTATAATACACCAAAATGCCTGTGGCTTTCATTGCCTAGCAGCTCAATTTGCACGCTGGTATCGAGGAGCCATTGTCTACGCTCGAGGGCGCATGGGCTTTACCCACTGCGGCTTGTTACCTTGTGAGTTGGAGATGCAGGCCGACTTGGTGACGGCGGATGGCTCCTTCGACGTACAGCACGACCCTGCGCGGCAGGAAGAGCTGGTAGCTCCCCTCATATACGCGGAATTGGTGGCAATCCTCGGACTGCTGCAGATCCAAGGCTCAGCCGTCCTTAAGGCATACGCCCTTCACTCGCACCACTCCGTCTCCCTCCTTGCCATACTCAGCATGTGCTTCACGCAGGTAAAACGGGGTCTCTCCGTGTTTGGGCAGCAGCTCCTGCGATTTCGTAGGTAGCAGACACCACGGGGGGCATGTGCACTAGGCGTATGCGTTTACCCCAAGTGTATCGACGCACTAGGTCACCCCTAGAGGCATCCGTCTTGGACGTCTCTGGACGGTGTTTCTGCATCTGTAGATATGCATAGGGGCACTAGTGTACGGTGCGCGATGCATGTGTGAAGAAAAGGCTTCACGTGTTGCAACAATCACACACTGTTCGTATTCGACAGGCATCGCAGAAACGCCACAGGCTTAAGCTGCGGCATAAGAAATCCTCTATGTGCTATCTCGAACTTTTCTTTGTGCCTCTGCAGCCTTAGCAAAGCTCTTTTGAGCTAATGTTGGTGCCTCGCACATACTTGCTTTCGCCTTTGCTGGCTTGTGTGGTGTTGCTGTCTGCAGGTCGCCGTGGTAAAGCCACAAATGAGCCGTTCAGGCAACAGCGAAGTGTATTTGCTGGGCCTCGGCTTTCGTGGGATCCGATCCCCATTGCTAAGGGCGCTTTCAAGCGCTGTGGATGGATTTACACAAGACATGGCTACCATTCCTAGGGAATGGCTTCCCGATGTGGGCCTTCGGTGCTGCTTTGTATTCTTCCTTTCCCTAGAGCAGTGTGTCTCGGCTCTATCTGCTTATGCCCCTTTGTCTCTGACTGGTTCACGTTGCCACGCTCGGAGATCGTGTAGCTTGTTCCCGCTATCCTGGGATATTTTCCTGCACGCGCACGCTCCTTTCTACAAATTCCTTGGACTTGGTAGTTTTTGGTCATTATTTTGCTGCGGCAAGCTCAAAGAGTAAAGGGGATTGGGCACTACTGCTTGTGTTTGTTGCAGGAATTTGTGGCGGAATGCAGAAAATGTGCAGAATTCTTCACGCAGCTCCAGGCCGAGCACCTCGAGGTCTCCCTCCAGTAAGTTCCGCACAAACGCACGATGAATGCTTTGGCTTTGAAGGGATATGCCTTGTACCCTTGATAGATTACATAAATAACTCATTTTTTTCTTAATGCGCCTGTGCTTGTAGGGGGTGCAGATATGTAGACTTAGGACCTTTTCTGGAATGAATACTTTTGTGCTGTATGACTCCTACGCGCACGACCTTGCTTTTCTGTCTTCTCGCATCTAGTCGTGCACATTAGCGGGCATCTGTTGCATGTAGTTGCATTTATGTGTGCATCAGCCTACAAATAAACCTTGACATGTTCTCTAATCTCCAGCAATATTTCCCAGTATAGTATGCACCTTGTTGACGTATGGAAAGGGACACACACACAGACATACACCTGCGCATACACGTGCCCATGCATACACGGCTACCCATACATGCATTCATACACACGCGGAAGCAGCACATAGAAAGCGCTGCAACTCCAGGACCAAAGCGGTCTCTCGTGATCTTCTCTTGGCGTCAAGTATTCTGTCGATTTTGCCCGCTGTGGCTCACTTCAGGAAGTTTAAGGCTCTCAGCTCTCACGAACTGTGGCAGCTGTCCTTGGAGAAGGAACAATTAGCCGACGAGTTCATCAGTTCCAATAACCTCCTGTAAGCTCCAGACCCGGTGACTTCAACCCATCTAATACGGATTCTCCGGGTTTGCCCCTGCACGCGCTGTACTGACCCATGGAATTCAACCGACCATGACTCGCACCTCCAATGCCTTTGCTTATTTACTTCCTATGCCCGCTACTATTCACCCCTGCAGCCTACTGCATGAGCAGTTCCACACAAGACTATAGACTTTGGGGCTTTTTGTTTTAGGCCAATTCGCTTTGAGGACCGACTAGTGCCAGACAGCGACTTCGTGAGAGACTGGGAAGCCCACGGCTTTACCAATTCTACTAGAAGAGGCAGCAGGCAAGCCTCCAGAATTTCCCGTACTTCGGTCGCTCATGCTGCTGCTGCAGCCGTTTCTGGAAGCTGTTATCGGTTTTGTTGCAGATTGCATCGCCTAATGCTGCGGCGCTGCGAGATCGTTCTTCGAAGCGCTAGCTGTAGCAGCAGATCTTAATGAAATGCAGCGAAGAAAATTTCGCGAATACATCTGCTTTTCCCCAGGAACATGTGAGATCGCCGCTGCGTGTTCTCAGGGAGAGAGTGCAGGGTGTGTTGGCCGACAGAATCAGGTTTCGCGAAGTGTATACGCGCCTGCAGTCTCACAGGGAGGAGAAATGGCTGCATCACGGGGGCTGCAGCAGAGCCCTTTGCCTTTTGACCTCTCAAGCAGGCATCGATGCATTGTTGCAACGTGCGCAAGCCTCGTTAGAAGATGCGGATGATACAGGTGAGGTGCTTTGTGCGACCGTGGCTGGCACTGTCGTTTTGCTGCGGTGCGTCTCTGTGGTGTGTCTCAGCCTGATTTTCCTCCCGCTTTTGGTGATGTGTTGTTCCTCAGGATTCAATGACAAAAAGAGAAAGCGAAGTGAGCGGAGAGCAACTCATTTTAGAGCCACTCCTGGTGTAGGCTCAGTGCATGTTTAAGATTAGAAGTCGGATGGTTTGTGGGTTCACTCAGCTAGACGTTATTCGGCTTCGATGACAGGATCCTTTTTGTTTCTGAGCACTCTGCCTTTACAGCAATTCTCAGTGGCTGGGTTTTACTATTGTGGCCCAAAGATAATATGGGCTGCACGGTATGGAGCTCAGTGAGTGAATCTTAAGGCAAAAATGCACAAGTGCGCACGTTTGCGCGCGTATGTGTATGCGTGTGTTGTGGGTGGCTCGCAAATTGTTGCTGAGCAGGCCCAAGTGCCAATGACGAACAGTTGCCCACTAAGGTCTCCATTCGCGACTTCTTTTCTGTTGACGGTTAGGAATTGAACCTCATGCATCAAGCCTCTGGGTTTAACGGCTAGCTTAAAGTTGTATCTAAGGGGCTATCGTTCGTGGGAACGAGCATTCAGCTTGCAAAGTATTACATGTATACACACCTGGGCTTCTGTTGGTTTGTGCAGGTGAAGGGGATAACGGCGAGTCATCTGTGAGCACGTCCGTGCTCGATTACGTACGTATCTGATTTGGTAGCGTGTTGCGTATTTCCTGTGAAGTTCTGGAGAACCAGAAAAAATGAATGATCATGCAACACTAGCAGCAGAACCAACCTCAGCTAGCTGCATGAGCAAATGCAGCAGTAGGCGATTCTGCACGAATTCGTTGCGTCTCCCTCTTTCGTGCTTCCTGCTCTCCGACGTTCCCTGCCCCCATGTGTTGTACGTATCCTCCCGAGGTCTTTAGAGTACAGCAAGACACCAGTATGCGCCTTGTACGACGTTATATGCCCTCTGTGGCTGTGCGTGTCTTCCCCAGCCTAAGGAAGGCGAGTCTATGTGGTTATGCCTTTATCCGGAGGACTGCCAGCAGCAGCAGCAGCAGCAGCAGCCGCAGCCAGAAGCTCAGGACATGGCTTCTTTTTTCACAAATTTCACGGCACGTGCACGCCAGTGCTGGAATCAGCAACGGCCGCAGCAGCAGTCTCAGCAGGTGCCGTCAGCATCAGTGCCATCTCCTGCTGCAGTTGCGTGGAGAGAAGAAATGCTGCAGGGGCTGCGGAAGGCGGAGTACAACGCGAGGCCTTCCTGCTGGCTGACACTCTTGAGGCCTCTGGGTAAGCAAATGAAATACAAATAGCTCTCTCATTTGCAGCGTCTTGTGCTGCTACTGCTGCTGTTTCTGGCGACCGAGGTACATAAAGCGAAACTGTAGTGAAGGGGGTCAGTCTTCCTTTGGTTGGCAACAGGGGAGGTGGGCCTCCTGCAGACAGTGCGTGCTACACCGATTCGTTTTGCCTGAACGTCGTTCTCAAGGATTCGCGCATATGCGTACCGCTGTAGTCGCGTTGCATAGTTAGATAAGATCCAATATTGAATCTGCATGTGTAACAATGGCCTCTTCTAATTGAACCTGTGTTTCCATCGTCGAACCCGAGGGGTCTTTTGTCGTCGAACGAAGAGCCACTGGTGTGGCTTTGTGGTGGATAAAGCATTGTCGAGGTGCGGGTGTGCGGGTGTCGCTTTTTCTTATTCAGCGCCTTACCGGGTACAGATGAGTCGTTTTGCGGATGACCGCCTTTTAGCAATTGTCGGGGAGCTGCGCCACCAACTTCCTTTCCTTTTCCCACGTGCGTACGAGTAATGTTTTCGGTGCACGGTCTACGTTTAGGAGTCAAAGCCTCCTTGAGTGTGTTTTGAGCTCGTCATGCATTTTCGCTTTTCGTTGTATTGCAAGGACTTCTCTGACCTTTGCTGCTGCAGCCTGAACTGTGCAGTGTGTCTCTTTCTTCCTGTGCTCGCTCCTCCCCGCATGCCTCCAAAGCCCGCTGTCCCCACCCTCTATCTCAAGCTTTCTGTTCTTTTTTGGCTCTTCTGTGGTTTACTGCCTTCGCGCTCTGCATGTACACAAACATTGACTCCTTTTTATCTGAGGGTCTTGCTCCATCCAGCCTATTCGGAGATTTGTCCTTGCTTTGAGCTCACCAATTAAATAGCCCTTTCTGTTTTCTTCAAGCCATTAGCATCTATCCCCATGTACTACTGGCAGTTGCTTGATCTGCTTGCATTTGGCCTTTTCATTACCCCACTTTATCGCGGTTCGCTCTTTTACTGAATTCGTTGGTTGCTGAGTGCAGACTCCACCCCGGATTTCCTCCTGCTTGAAGGCCGCCCCTCCGCTGTCGGCGAGAGGCTGGGGGAAGAGGAGCTGCCTCCTCCTAGTAGCATCGATTTGTTGTTGGCACTGAAGCAGCTTGAAATGCCTGCTGGTGCACCCGGCCCTGTGGCGTCCTCATCTGGCGCGAGCCATATAGAGGGGCCTCTAGGAGAAACCTCGGAGAAGGAGCTCGCAGGAATCTGGAGGAAACAGTACCCCGTCTGCGTAGAAATCAGCAGCTGGAGTGCCCCTTTGGCTCTCCCAGTGCAGCTCATGCTGAGGCGATATGGTTGTAGCTGCTTTGTCGTCATAACCCCGTCGAAGCAGCTTCAGCACCAAGAGCAGCAGCTCACGCGGGAAGTGCTTGAAGGAGCTACTCCCCGATCAGCCCCTGTATTAGGTGTTCAGGAGGTCGATATCCTCGCTGCCTTTGCAGAAGCGGAAACCAGCGACTATTTTAAACGGGTAGGAGCGTACGATATGCACTGTAGGATGCAGGTGTACAGAATTAGGCTACGTGATTTAATGCCTGCGGGGCGAGGGCTTGTGTTTTGTTTACAGCAAATGCAGCAGGTGGTTCTCCCGAGCTTACCGGCCCGAGGTGCGCCCTTAGTATCGCTCGACATAACTGGTGTGCAACACTGGCGGAGAGAAGAGATTAGCGAGGGTGGAACAGAGCGGGGAGAGAGCGTTGGAGCAAAGGGGAGTGAAGGAGAAAGATCGAGACATAGAGGCGTTGTGGCTGCGGTGCACGAGGAGATGGCTCAAGCCGAGATGGAGGCCTCCCTAATTCTCTTGGGGCAGATCATACAGGTCTGTAATATCCCGCCTCAGCTTCTGTATCTTTCAGCCTCTTACGCTACAGTCCGTGTCCTCGGGGTTTTCTCGTTTCTTCTGTCCGCGCGTCTTTTCTGGATCGCCGCTGGCGTGTACACTTCCGCATGGCCCTCAACGCACATCTTTCCTCTGCTGTTTCTTGTTTTCTCTTGAATAAGAATTGATTCGCTTCGTGTAACTTGCGCTTAATTTCTCTGCCAATCTGTCTCTGCTCTACTTGTATTATTGACTAGTCCTCTTGTGTTCCTCGTGCTGCCTAGCTACCTGGAGTCATTTCCCCTTCTCAACCACATATCACCATGCTGTTAACTTATACCGTATCTCCATTATCTGCTCTTCTTCACCCTTTTGTAGCTCTATTTTTCTTATTTGTATTGATCTCAATGTCGACAGCGAGCACAACAGTTTTTTTTTTCAATATGATGCTTCATTTGTGTCTTAGGGCCTACTGGTGCTATCTCCTGAGGGCAACATTGTGTTGCGCCTGCACAGCTGTTACACCCGTTATACTGCATCTTTGCTAATGCTGCTGGCTATCTGTTTTACTTCGAGCTGTCTTTACAAACCCCCGTCTGTTCCCTCTTGGTCCTCCGACGCCTTCTTCCTCGGCAAGGGAAAGAGGCAGGAGGAGTCTACGCAGGTACTGCAGCTCCTTTTTACCGCCTGGGGGATTTTAGTTGCAAAACATAAGTCTGAAAGCGTCTCACTCCTTAGTGCAGAGACAGCCAGGCTGGGTGGTTTCAAGCGGGGCATCTCCACGACTACGGCTGCTGCAACCATCAACTGCGGGGGGCTTTCAGCTCACTGGGTTCTACAGCAGTGCATTAAGGCCAAACTCTTTACCAATTTAGTTTCCAACAAGTACGTTGAGCCCAAAGTGTAGCTCATATGTCCTTTTATGCGGAAGATGCGCAGGAGAGTGGAGCGGAATACACAGATTCAGGGCAACACATCATGTACCGCTGCATAGACTCCAGGATGCATATAAGTGTTGAAGTACAAAGCTATATCAGTATACCATCGCATATATGTGGGCGACTGCCAGTATCCCGTAATATCTGTACGCCTCTGCCAATGTACTACATATGTACGGCCGTGTCACAGGACTCCTCATGCGCTGTATACGGAAATCCATTTTTTGTCAGAGTCCTATGCATGTATATGCACATCTGGATTCTTGTCGTTAGAGCTACCCGCACGTGACTATATCTAAGTGACTCCCAATGTTTCTGTCAACCTCTACATTGGTGTGCGTAGCTATTAGTGCCTTATATACTCGCACAGAACTATGCCAATAGAACTAGAAATCCAGCAGAAATGCAGGTAGTTGCATTCATATGGAAGCAAGCACCCTACGATGTGTATGCCTCAGGTGGATCCTTTTGTTCAATAATCGCCTCCTCCGACAGCAACTGAAGGATTTAAGCGAGCGCACAGAGCTGGTGTCTTTAGCGTGTCGGGCTGCAGGAGTTGCCCTCGCAGCTGCTAAAACTGCCCCTGGAAGTAACCCACCAGTAAAGGCTCGAGTTGCAGCCGGAGCTACTTTAAAATGCTTGAATCAACAGGAGAGACGAAAGAAAGTGGCATTGTTTCTGCGAGCCCAAGGCATCCTAGGTGAGCACTTGGGGGCTAGGCGTGCTGACTTCCATATATGCGCATTCGTCCTCCCTTTTTCGTGTACTGGCCGATATTGAAGGCAGCATGCATGATTTTGCGCGTGCTTTATGAGGAATTTTAATTCCTTTCAAGCCAGTCTTCGTGTTGGTGTCATTTAGGCCACGGCCCCTGCGGTACACTGGGTAACATTTCTACCTTCGAAAATACGTGCCCTTTTCTTTATTCCCCCTGTGGTCTTCGCGCCTCAACGCAGACGCCTCTGGTCTATATGTACATACGTGCTCACATGCATGCGGATATATATCCTGCCTACATCAATGTAACCGCGTGCGTACACGTAGGGGTCTCGTCACACACACGCGCACTTTGACCCTTTCTTGTCTTTACACAGATTTGGTTCTGCGAAAGGATTCACCCTATCACCAGTCCCTCTCTGCTTCGGAGGCGCGGGAAGACACGGCTAAAGATGATGAATGGGGAGGCCAGCTCTTCGATTCGGTCGAGGTCCTTGCGCTACTCGCTGGGGCACAGCCGACTCTTAGTGCACAAGCAACAGAAGAGATTTGGAGGGAAGCCTGAAAGTGTTGCCTTTGTCGTCACAGTAGTTGCTAGTGTTCCTGCTGCAGCAGCCACCGCGCCCTTCAATGGAGCGGCTGGCATTGCATCAGCAATGTTTTGATGTGCAGCATGTTAAAGCATTACATTTGCAACTGCGAAAAGATTTGATGGTGGGAGATGGAATGGCGTTCGCAAAATGTTTTCTTCCAGTGGTGTGCCGATGAAGCTTGCACGAGTGGTACACTTATTCGCACTCAAAAAAGAGCACAAACTCGGGTTCGATCTGAAAGCCGCTACACCGAACTCTTTCTGCGCTGCAAGGCGGCGGAAGAGCATAGAGAGAACACGCTCTTCGAAAATAATGCGCTCATCGCGCGAGAAAATGGTACGTAAGGTCCTCCGGTGTATACACTCTACAGCGGATCACGTGCCACAGCTGCAGCAGAAGGTAGAACTCACTATAACAACAAAAAACTGTTACAATGGCAACAAATGCCACACGGCTAGAGTGGCAAGATGAGGTATCGTTGCTTTTCCGATGTCAACCTGTGGAACACATTTTCTGGCGGTTTTATTGAAGGATCTCACTCTAATATTCCGGCTTCATTTCGTTTTTTCCCCCTGAGCTCCCCTTTTAAAAGCTTTTCTATGTCTGCAGACAGAGCGGATGGCGGAATGCGGGGACTGTAATACTTGAACACGCGGCCTTCCCTGTCCAGCAGAAACTTGCCAAAGTTCCAACCCACTGGCTTCAGCTCCCCCTTGCTGTACATCTGCAGTCAAATCATCACGCACCGGTAACACAGTGCAAGAAACTGAACCCCCGAGTTTCATGCACGGCGCACGTACACGGATTACATTATGGTTCTCTCTCTTGACCCTAAAACCAATGATCATCCTAATGTCAACTCGTATATTGCAGCCGTACTTCTTCAGAGTGTAGCTTGCAGTACTGAAATATAGGGTTTGCATTCGGTCCGTTGACTTCTGTAAGTTCAAATAATGGGAAGTTGATATCGAATTTCTTGTAAGCCTGACACATTAGCGCGGGATCTCTCTCTTCTTGTTCTTTGAACTGAGTCGTCGGAAGGGCCAGAACCTGCCATACGAACATCCGCCCAACAAGCACAGACAATGCGGCAATGCAAAAGGCAAGCTTCTTTCCAACTGTCGACTCTGTTAGATGCAGTCAATGCCTAGAAGCGGAATAGCCAGGATTATGGAGGAGCCAGCAAGCGCCCACTGGTGTACATGGGCTCTGCAGAAGCTCCCTGCACACCACTGATTTGAGGCACACAACCGCAGCCCTTGCCGTTACTAAAGCGCCATGAAAAACATACGCATGTGTCACAAGACAAAGAATTTGAACCTTTTCTTTGCCCGCTCAATGGGCGCTTAAGTGAGCCTACAATTTGAACAACTGGGATTTCGCGAAAGCGTACCTCGAAACCCTGGGGTCCATACTTTTCTTTGAGTTCCCGGAACTCTTTAAGGTGTTGCTGCGTAAAGCCACATTTGGTTGCCGAGTTTGTGATCAACATTACCTGCCCCTTGAACTCTGCCATTTGTCTATAGTTCCCTTCGACATCCTTTGCGCCGAGGCTAAAGAAGTCTTGAGAAAGAAGTGCAGCAGGCACAGCGCCGCTTTTCCAAGCCGAAAAAAGCCACATTCTGGCCAGGCCCTAGAGATAGAAATACAGCAGGCAAAGAGGGCGCGGCTTACTAGAGGCCGCAACGAACAGATAAAAAAGAAAGGCGACGGTGGAATATCGTAATTCCGCTGGCGGTATGAAACAGTGAATGAGAGACGGGGAAAAACAGACTGCGCTCGGAAGGCCTGCACAGAAATCATCCGGCAAAGCCCCTAGCCCTATCAGCAGGTGGGGAAAGGGGCAACGATCTGCCATGCGCCCTTCTCGGTGCAGCCTCCTCTGACTGGTTCTCTCTCTTCTGCAGAGGATTAGAGTCTAGGGCTAGTTCTTCGTGGCTAGGGTTTGCTCTTTGTGGGCCTTGTTCCATATTTCTTCACCCCATCCCTGAACGAAGCGAGTGTTCCCTTCGGCCGCCTCCCCACAGCACGGCATCACCAACGACGTAAAAACTTCTGCGCGCTCAATTTCAGAGGAGGTTCACTTCTTTCTTGCAGCTCAAATCTTGAACAAAATGGCGACTAAGGAGAAGAAGGGGCAGGACAATGCCCTCATGGACGCCGCGAAGAACTTCATGGCGGGGGGTGTCTCGGCGGGTGTGTCTAAGACCATTGTCGCCCCCATTGAGCGAGTCAAGATGTTGATTCAAACCCAAGACTCTATCCCTGACATCAAGGAGGGGCGCATGCCGCGCTATACCGGCATCACTAACTGCTTTCTCCGGGTATCCAGAGAGCAGGGCATGGTCTCCCTATGGAGGGGCAACCTTGCCAATGTCATCCGGTACTTCCCAACCCAAGCTTTCAACTTCACTTTCAAGGACACTTTTAGGAGGATGTTCCCGAAGTACGACCAGAATAAAGAGTTCGGCAAATTCTTCCTGACCAACGTTGCCTCGGGAGGCCTTGCGGGGGCTGCCTCCCTTACTGTGGTGTATCCTCTAGACTTCGCTAGGACCCGTCTGGCTTCTGACGTAGGAAAAGGAAATGCGCGAGAGTTTACTGGGATGGGCGACTGCCTCAAGAAGATATGTGCTCGCACCGGCTTCTTCTCGCTCTACCAGGGATTCGGCGTCTCTGTTCAGGGTATTATTGTATATCGTGGTGCGTATTTCGGCTTATTTGACACTGCCAAGGCTATGCTTTTCGGGGATGGCAAACCGAATCTATTTTTCAAGTGGGTGGTGGCACAGAGCGTAACTGCAGCAGCAGGCGTTGTGTCTTACCCCTTCGACACCGTGAGGAGGCGAATGATGATGATGGCTGGTCGCAAATCCGCGGAAGAACTGCAGTACACTGGCACTCTGGATTGCTGGCGCAAAATCGCCCAACAGGAAGGCTCACGCGGCTTCTTCAAGGGGGCCTGGGCTAACGTTCTCAGGGGTGCTGGGGCTGCTCTGGTCCTGGTCTTTTACGACGAATTCCAGAGGTTGCTCATGTAAGCAGCCTGCCCTGCTCGTATCAGCCTCCACTTACCCAAACATTGGCGCCAAGCTATTCCACGCCTAGCGGTCTGTTCTGAAACCCACATGGAAGTCACCTGCCCACCGAGGCCGCACGGTTTCAACCACAGCGCAGGGATAACTGCTTTTTCGTTCAAAAAGAAGGGCAACTTGGATTTGCGCGCCAAACTACCTATTGTCCTGGAACATTTATCAAGCAGATGCTGCTGTAAATATATGCTCTTAAGTAGAGTAGTCAGTTCGCAGTATTGCTGAATACCACCATGTTGCCTCCGTTGACTTTGGCTCCTTTAATGGTGCACTTGTTCAAGTAATGGGTAGCGCTAAAACAGTAGTGTCGTAAATGCAGAGGGGCGAATGCTTTGAGCATTTTCACCCTTCGGTGATGGTTCGTGTCTATTACTGGCACGAAGCCTCCGCCACTTTGAGAGGTGCGGCGGCGAAGAAAGTGAACGACAGCAATAGAGGGCTCAACAGGGTTCGGGGGACACGGGCATATCGAGGTGTACTATTGTACAAACGGGTTTGCGTGGGGCACACTGTTATGGAGGCTTCCAAAGCACGTTGTGTTGAGGTCTGGCCGCGAACGGTGGATTCCTTTAGCGCCCCTACCGGTAAACATCGACAGGGAATGCAAAATTCCTCCCAGAGGGGAACCTAGTAAGAGTTGGAGACCATTCATGCTTTATAATTGTCGCATGGATGGATTGCGAAATTCGCATAGGAGCTATAGAAAGCGGGATGGAGCGCATTCTCATAATTTCGTTTGCTGTGTATTGCCCCGCAACCCGTTCTTCCCTTTCTCCCGGTGAGAAGCGCGTTCAGACTGAATGAGTTGATGTTGGCGACGTGCCCGCATGTATTCAAACTCGAAGAAATGTGCGAAAGGCAAAAATTACTTGGAGCTTTTCGGTTTAATCCGCGCTTACTGCTACAGGCCATCTATTGCAACGTGATTCCTCTAGCATCTAGAAGTTCGTAGCCCAAGTTAAGCAGGGTGCGGGAAAGAGATGGGAGGAAAGAGAAATGCCAATGGTTGTTCTAAAAAGGGTTTGAAAAAAGGTAGATGTGAAAAGAGGTAGAGAAAGCCCCCATTATGCCCCTAACTCGGAGTCCTTGGTCGTAGTACGCTGTCTTCTACCAAAGTCGCCACTGCTGTGCATGAGAGCGAGCTTGCACATTACAGTCAACAGCCATAATAGACAGACAAAGACACGGAAGAGAGAGGTAGAGGGGAAACTCGGTTTTTGTAGGGCACTGCTAGTTAGTTGGATTTAATTGAATCGGGTGGTACCCGCGGCTGAACCGACGCATTTTGGTGCTCTCTGTGGAAGGCCTCGGCCCCGCCAGCAAAATACGAAGCACCCAGTTGATGCCATGTGCACTTCGTCCTAAGCTTTTCTTCTCAGCGCAGATACAGTGAAGTGCTACGGCTGAGGTCTGTAGGAAACATGCAGGTAACAACGACCAGCCCCATGGGGGCCCCCCTATCCCCATAAGCATACCCAATCAGCAAAGAGAACCACTGATGAATTATCCTAAAAACACTTTCAATATTCAATGTTCGCTTTTGAAATGCCTTCTAGCCCTCAGTACAAGATAAGGGTATTGCATTTACCCTAGCCTCCGCACGTCCCGCCTCCTCCAGTGACCCCCCCGTGTGTAACGGGCCCTCTCTTCGCCCCCTCTTCTCAGATACACTCCTTTACTGACTCTACCACACCTCTAGAGCTGTATTTACCCCATCTTCGGATCTCGCCCTTCCGAACCGCTCGCCCGGCGGAGAAGGACGCAAGTCTTCCCCGCGGTTCAACAGTAAAGCTTCACAGTTCGGGGCCAAAGAATGGGGCGTTTATCAGTTTGGGAACTCGCCAAAGCGTTGGGGGAGGTGTCACACTGAATGCTCAGAGCTTGCAGAATATTGATGTTCATCGCGTTGGGGGAGGTGTCACACTGAATGCTCAGAGCTTGCAGAATATTGATGTTCATCGCGTTGGGGGAGGTGTCACACTGAATGCTCACAGTGTGCAGAATATTGATGTTCATCGCGTTGGGGGAGGTGTCACACTGAATGCTCAGAGCTTGCAGAATATTGATGTTCATCGCGTTGGGGGAGGTGTCACACTGAATGCTCACAGTGTGCAAAATATTGATTTTCATAGCACTGGGCTTCCTTGCAAGGCAAGGCACTCGCGAGGATGATCAGAGGCCGAGGCTGCGGTCGGGGCGGAGGTCGTTCATCAGCGTCGACTAATGGCTCTGCACCTCATAAAAGAAGAAGCCCCCGTTTTCTTGATGTCGAATCTGACAAAGAGAAGTCTCTCCCGCCACAGGTGTGCGCCGTTTTTTTCAAGACGGGCTGCATGCCGCCCAATTGCGCGCAGGCTCTCCTTTCTGGCTCGCGAGTTGCATGTCGCTCTGCTTGACTGCCTAGCCGCAGAGCTGCTGGCACCACTGCGGGGCTCAGGGTGCAAGCTCTCCCCCCACCTAGACACATCCCGCTACCTCGGTGTGGAGCAGGCAACAGAGCCACCAAGCCGCAAGCGTCCAGCCTGCTTGACGGGCTGGCGAAGTGCTCTTTCCCATGTCTTGTCCTCCTTTGCCTTCAGAAGCGCCGCAACGCGAAAGAAGGGGAGGCCGAGACATCCAACTCCCAGTCGCGCTTCAGCAGCAACAGCAGGAAAGACAGCCCCAAGCGCTCAGCCTGGCGTCGAAAAACATGCAACACTCGTGATGGCCAGTATGTCCGTACAGAGGCCGCTCGAAGGGATGCCTTGCAGGCTCACGAAGAGGAGGAAGACGATGAGGAAGCTGTACGAAGAGAGGCGATTGGCTTCGCGGCGCTGCATGAGGGCTTTGTCTTTTACCGCACATACACCACAACCGAGCTCATTGACTCCGGGACGAAGCAGCGCGGCAGGAAGACGCAATTCAAGGTCGGAGACTTCGTGGACCTAATGGTCGCAAGAGAAAAATCCAAGAGTCAAAACATTCTCTACCGATTCGGTAAGGCCCTGTGACTCTTCCTCCTGCACCCGCTGCAATGCCCTATAATGTGAAAACTTTCCGACAGATTCCCTGCCGAACGATCCCAGAGCCACAGCACGACGCTGAGGCGGCTCAAAGAGGCTTTCTCTTTTCTGCCGCTGTTGTCTAGGGCTATCGGGAAGCGCTTTAAGAAGCTTTCACCAACGCCTCTACTGCCATTCAGCGCATGTAATGAGATAAATATATATATATGTATATTTTTTCCATGTCTCTGTCATGTCGATGTTTTATATTTGCTTGCTCGCATGAGAACGATGTGATATTTTGCTGCTTCCTGCACCGTTGTGTTTTGCGCCCTCCAGCTCAAATCATGGCCATTTTCCAGGTACGAAGCTGCGGGCATGCCAGCAGTCGCTGCCGTTGGTCTTGCGCGTTGAGCAGATGTTGCGGAAGAAGGCGTGACAACGACATGAGCTATGCGCGCATCCATCTGTCCTGCAGAAAGAGCCGTCAGATTTCGCTATTCCCGACGCCAGCAAGGCGTCCACCTTCAGTTCATCTTCGCTAGAGGGCTCAGTAGCGGTCAAGGGGCGGCGTAGACAGAGCCAGAATGGCAGGAACGCCCCTGTACACCCCATCAAGCTCGAAGTTCGATGGGTGTACGACGCACAAGATCTTCAGCAGATGGGAGTCTCTACAGCGAGGACGCCTCCACTCGAGCCACACGAATATGCCGAGTCCGATAAGGTCTGTCGCAACGGGTGTCGCAGCGTGTGTGTGTGTGTGTGTGTGTGTATGTGTGTGCTACTGCTGTTACTGCTGCTTTTACTGCAGCTTCTCTCGAGACTTCAGTGACTTGCATTGTCTTCTTCATCTTCTCTGTCCTCTTTTCCAGAGACGATATCTGCACGGTCGTTTGCTCGCCTCGGTGTCGCTGCTGAAAAAGCCGCTACTTCCGTCACAAATGGCCTAAGGCCGTATGACCGAGAGGCGGAGCATTCTTGTGCTTTTTCGCTTTGTAGCAGAGGCCTTTTATCAGCGCCTCTGACTGTGGCTTCTGTTTTTTGACTGCCTACCCCAGGCAACATCTAGCTCCCAGCATCTATAAACCTCCCCCCCTTCTTTCCCTTCCTTCAAGCTCATCTCACTCAGGGTGCAGCATTCTAGGTTGCTGTCCGTCGGTTTTCGCTGCAGTGTGAAGAGGTGCCCGCGGAGTGGCTCGACGAAGAGGCTTTGGTTGTGCAGTCGGAGAGTGACTTTTTGAAGGAGAAGCAGAGAAGAGCAGCTCTAGAGAGAGAGGAGGAGGAACACCAAGAGTACTTCCCCCCTCTATGCTTCCTCACCCGTTTTTACTGCAGCAGAACGAACATCGTCATGCCCCTAGAAGCAGTCGGAGACGACAGGGAAAAGGTGAGGGCCATGCGTTCCCTTGTAGCAGCTGCTGCTGCCGCTTTCTTGCCATTGCTCCTGCCTCCGCGTGTGCAGCAACCGGGAGGCATACAGCAGAGCTGCCCACGCTGATCTTCCCGATTCCACTGCGCTGCAGCCATACCACAATCTGAAAATAGCAGGGCCGCTGCTGTATATCCCCGCAGATCTGCGTTGCCGGCTGTGGTTCTTCCCCTCTCGTGCTGCAGCTGCTGCTAAACTGCAGCAAATACCACCAAGTCTACGTTCACGGAGGGGGGGAAGACGGCGGATCCTTGGACGCGGGTCGTACGTTATCAGACTTTTTGTGGGGTTGGATGCTGCCGCGGCTGCACCTTAGAAATCTATTTTTTCAGCCCGCATGCACTAGAAAACACTCCCTGTGCTCTTCGGCCTAAGTACCAGCACTCCTGAGGTCTCTATGAACTATGGCCGTAAGACTTGGGAGTCCTCTTACTGACAAATGTTTATTCCGCAGTGACTCCCGTGCAACGTGCTATTCGTCGTCTGCAACTCGACAGCGTTCCCGCCACCCTCCCTTGCAGGTGCTTAATCACTCCCTCGAATTTTCCAGCACCAGCAAGGCCTGGGCCTGAGTCTCGCTGCCTCAGTCTCGCTGCCTCAGTCTCGCTGCCTCAGTCTGTCTCGACTGCTGCTGCTTTTTCCGAGATCCAGCCTGCGGTCTTTGAGACGGTGTTGTGGCAGCGACGAAACGCAAACAGTCAAGTGCTGTGGGGCTAGGGCTTCGGATTGTACGGCTTTTTGGATGCGTGCTGTATGCAGAATGGCTGAATTTCAAAAGGTGCGACAGACCATCCTTACCGGGATCAAGCAGCAACAAGGCGGCGAACTCCTCTGTATGTACAGCGCTTCTGCCACTTTTTAGCGCTCTCCCCTTCCGCTTTGTCTGCCTTTCAAAGCACGGGGTTTGCTTGTCTTCGTGCATATGGCTGCGGCATGTACCTCCGGCACACAGTCATGGCGCAACTGTGCGCCTCCAGTTGCCTGCACGGTCCTTAAGGATTTTAACCCTGCGTTGTCAACAACACTGCTGCCTGGGCCTTAAAGTGCTCCAATGCTGCAAGAGCTCGCTTTCCACCAGGAATGGAGCTGAAGCGAGAGGAGAAAGTTCTCTACTGTGACCGCCTAGCGCGCACTTATGTACTTGTATATTCTATGTGCACCCATATGTGTTCGCATGGAAGGCAAATCGAACGCTACTCCACATTTACCCATGAGCGAACCCGTACTACAATGAACCTTGTGTTGCGTGTGATGAAAAATGCCGTCATTCAGACATCAGTGGCCTTCCCGGAACGGGCAAGACGGCAACTGTTCAAAGCGTCCTGCGCTCACTTCAGCGCGACGTCCAGAAGCAAGTGAGGTTCATCTAGCGAAATCCTGCACCTCTCTAGTGAGTAGGTAGCTGGGGTATGAGGTCTCGGATGTGTCTGTGTGCTGCTGCGTTCTATCTAGGTTATTCCGCCATTCACTTGCATCGAGCTCAACGCTATGCGGCTGCAGCATCCCGACATGGTGTTTGTGGCTCTCTATAAGCAGCTGTTTGGCTGCAAGCCTCACAGTACCCAGCACGCGTTCGCGGAACTGGACAGAACGTTCACTGGGGAGGCACATTCAGAGGCACGGGGGCAGTGGGACGACTTTCGCAAGAGGCGACTAAAGGCCTCCAAGACACGCAATGACAAGCTGCCAATGTACGCTCCACTAAGTTTCTTTAAGGGTGTAGCGTATGAGGCTCCTTGCCCTGCTTGTTTCGTAGCAGTCGCTCGCGATAGGTGTAAGAGGCTTTGGGGTTCTTTTCTTTGCACCAAAGGTTCATGCTGTGAGGCACAGGTGGCACGGTGTATGTACGTCTCAGCGTCCTGGTAGTAGATGAAGTGGACTGTCTGGTGAGCGTGAAGCAACGGGTGCTATACACTTTGTTTGACTGGCCGTTCTGTCCGGCGTCCCGGCTGGTATTAATTGCCATCGCGAACACCATCGACCTTCCGGAAAAGATTCTGAACTCAAGATGCGCCTCGAGGATCGGTGAGGCGTTCGTATTCACCAATCTGCCCACTACTAGGGAAGGACACAGCCAACCAGCAGCTACGCGGCGTGTGAATTCCAGGCTGGCCTTGCTAAATGCTGGCAAACCGAGTCGCTGGGAACCGGCTTATGCTCACCAAAGCGACTGAGCTCTCTACCGAACTCTCCTGTTGCGCAGTCAGAGAGCGGCCGGCGTGTGGATTTTCTGCCTGTTGGGGTAGCTAGAAACGGAAAGCATGCTTTGGCAAAGCCTGGGAAAATGAACTTTTCCGGTGTCTCAGGCTTTGGACGGTTGACTTTCAACCCGTATACCAGCGAACAAATCGAGGGAATCATCGTTGAGCGGTTGCAGGACTGTAGAGACCTCTTCGCTGAGTACGCATCACACTGAAACTGTCGTATCATGGGGACCATAAGCTTCATAGTTGAAATCGAAGGGCCATTCAGGCGCATACCCTTGTGCAGCCCTAAATGGCAGTGGCTGCTTGCTTGGGTGTACGTACAGTGCTGCGATTAAGGTGTGCGCCCGGAAGATCGCCAACTTTTATGGAGACATTCGTCGTGCCTTGCAGGTCCTCAGGTACTTCCAAAACTGAATCTAAAAGTTCAAATCATATCACAGAAAGCGAGGTCATGAGTACGGTATCCTGCGTTGCATCTGCGCATCCGCAGGCGAGCTTTGGAGTCGTTGCCGAGTGGCAGGAAAATTCACGTATGTACCGACTCCCCAACACAGTCCCATTCAGAAGCAAAATAGAGTGTAGCGGTCAAGGCACTATCCTTGGTGCGTGTGCGAGCAGCCTGCGGACATCAACAGCGCAGCCAACGACCTATTTGACTCGGTAATTTCTAGCTGTAATTGTGCATCTCCCGATGTGGCACTGGCACACTGCTGAGGAAGCTCAGGCCTGGATGCGTCCAGTGTAAAGTGTGCAAACGATGTTTATGTGCTGCAGCCACTGAAAGACTCGATATCATGCCTCCCCCGAGGAATGAAGTACGACGAAGCCTCCCCCCTTGCAAGACTTGGGTTTAGAGATGTGGAATTTCTAAGCGGGTTTAGTTGAGGGTCGTGGTGGAGTGAGTTTTTGAGTTTCAGGTTGCTGCTGTACTGCTTACTGAGGCAACAGAGGCACTTGGACTGCGGAGTGCCTCTTCGATCGCTCGTCGCTGCTTACCAAACCCTTTTAGATGTAGGCAAGGGGAGTCTCACGGGGGCTGACCAGCTGCCTGCAGGGGAAAACCGCCATATAGTGGACTTTGAAGACATCAAGGCGATGCTCGACAGCGTAAGCTGTGCACACCTCACTGCCTGACTGCACTTGGCAATCGAGGAATACAAAAGTGCCCGTTCAGCTGAAGCAGGCTTTTTATAAGGAGCAATTGCAAAACACCAGGGGCTGTGCAGGACGCGTACGTTCTCGCTGTTTCGTTGCGGTGTCTGTGCCTTGTGGATGACATACAGCTTGCCGGCATGCGTGTGATCGAGGTGTACCTACACCTACCCCGAATCGATACGCAGTCACCGGCGGCGACGGCAGACAAGAAAAACAGGCCGACTGTGCATACCGCTGGTGGAATTAAGGCTCTTTTAGTGGATCCCATTATCGACGAGGCAGGCGGAGACACTGAAGTGGCAATCATTGCGCCGGCAAGTACTGCTGCTTCGAGGACTGCAGTTGACTCGGTTCGCAGTTGCCATCGCCACTATATCTATTTTGCAGCGGCGAAACGCCGGAAGGATGATGTTGTCAATTCTGAGCAACGAAACTCTTGCTTCTGCGGGTACAGCCGCTATGTGTTGCAGCACGGTTCATCGTCCATCATGATCCTGTAGTCTGCGATTGATGCGTTCGCAGGTTGATGAGTTAGTCTCGGTGTTCCTAAGAGACGAAGATCTCGAGGGGCTGCCGCTCTAGAGTCGCGCCACCCTCTCTGCACCAGCTATTGCTGTTTGCTGCAACAATAGCGCATGCAGCAGGACGAGACTTTAGAACTTTGATTGGGACTGCTTTTACATGTGCTAAGGCGCACGTGGCCCCTCAGTGTATGATTCAATGTGTGGAGGCAAGTACGCTGATGGGAGTAGAAAAGGAAAGGATGGAGTTTTAGTCATGGTCTATGTAACAATGGCTTCGCAGTGTCACGGCCAGACTGATTTTACACCTCAACGTGGATATAACTTTCCTCTGTTTCATCACTTTGCCTCACTGAATGGCACATATGACGCTGAGAGTGAATTCTTCCCTCTCCTATACTTGGCCACCTGAAGTCCAGCGGGCTTTTTTCCAAGCACATCTGGAGCACAGACTGCCCCTTTGATCCAGAGTGGAGCTAAATAATCTAGCCCTCTTAGCCTAGTTGGACAGCCCTTCTGCATCAAGTTCTCCTCCGTCTTCGTGCGGGCACATTTCTGCGGATTGCTACGTTTTCTGGAACGCCTCAGCATGAGCCATATTCACTGGACCCGCAAATGCTTGTCGTCGTCTGCTTTCCCAGTGTAGAGCATAGAGAGGTGCGTCACAGTCTCATGTAAAACACAAGCCAAAAAATCACATGCCTCAATACCGATACGTAAGTCACAAAGGGCAAGAGACGTATGCCTGAAGGTTGATCAGCAGAGCGGCAGGGGGAAACGAGTGTGGATGAGGCATATGCGCACAAACGCAGTGTACGCATCATCATCTTTCGTCGTAGTGTAAACCCTATAACGAATAGCAGCAAAGCAGCGAGTTCACTGCACCAAATAGCCATGTACTTGCGGCAACTAGCAGCAGTGTGGCAGGGAGATTGACCAAATACATACGCACCAACGAGAGCTGGGGGACACCTGCATCAGAGAGCTGAAGTACGCACATGAGAGGGCTAGAGAGTATCATCAAGGCGGCAGATATGAGCAGCAGAGCGAATCGCATCCCCTAGCTTAGGTCCACCTAAAGTAGCACGACTCTTGTTTACAACATTTCCAGCACACCAGCTGTTGCTGCGCCTGATGCCCTTGCAGTAGCAAGTTGTTTTGCTCAGTTAGGGGGGCCTCCGTTGATGCATCGCTCCTGCGCTGCGCTCCTGGAGCTGAGGTCCTTTAGAGTCCTTTGCTCTTTGCCCACCGGTCCGCTGGTCATCGGGATTTGTCCAAGGTAGCTCCAGCTACAGAAGCTGCTGTACTGGTATCACTACTGAGCGCGCCTGAGATTTTGAAAGCTGAACTAGAAAAGCATTTAGGGTATGCGAGTCACGTAATACTGTGGTTGCTCTTTCGACCGCGAAGTTACCACTCCTCATGCTTCACTACACTTGCATGCTCTGCTTAACTGGGTTCCAAAAAAATGCTTGGTCTACCTTCAGCTGAAAGGTGGATACCACCGGTATGCATCTGAGCACAGCAAGAAAGAGGGACAGGTAGCATTAAGAGAGAAAGGTTTTTCCGGCCAGCAGAGTTCTTAACGTTAGGAGACGACAATCGACGCCATGGGGACAAACCTTCGTTTCACCTATTGTACCAGCTAGGACAAGAAGCGAGATGCACTATGCAAAACTGTTGGCCGGCTCACGCTATTCTCGTGCATGAGCAGCGAGATGCAGCGAACTTGTACGGCAACATATGGGCACAGCACTGTGAGAGGCTGTGACTTTCTGAAAACGACTTGGTTAGCGGCACTTCAGGATCTGGCAATTAGCGCTAAACATGGGATGGTCATTGGAGGCTGTATCAAAGCCATTGTTTGTGAGAGCTCTAGAGTGAGGATTATGGGACTGCCTCAACATGAGAAATCCCACGTGTTATCGCACTGCAACTTGGAGTGTCGCTTGAGAAGGTCTGCAAATATTCACTTCGATGAGTTCTATTATTCAACGAGACTAAAACATTTGGAAATGCAGCGACTCAAGGAGGTCTAGGTTCCTGCTTCTTTAGAGGAGCGCTGTATCTTTATTGGAATCCATAGAGGTGTGTTTGAATCTTAAGCTTCATAGACAGATCGTATGAGCGGGCCACAGCGTCTGTGATGGTGCTCTGAGTCTGTAGCAAGAATGTCTGGGTCCCTTCCTCGCTTGATTGCCTCTCGTCCTATGTGCAAAGGGCAAAGCTACAGAGCGACACTCTCTACTACACTAGTTATAACTAGCTAAGACTTAGTGAAGAAATGAGCAGACGGTTTGTCTGTCTTAATGACTTAATTTTAAAGAGGAGTGTTTGCTCGATGTAGGAAGACGCAGCGTTGTAAACATCTGCGTTTGAGGTTGTGCGCAACTAGCTGTAAGACTTCGAAGTCTGTAGTTGTACAGCAACGCTTAGCATAGCTGTCCCTGTCCCCTCAAGTGTGGTAGAAGAAGGATGAACTATTTCCAGAACCATTCTCTAGTCTCTGATGCTTGTATTGTGTCCCGATGTGCCGGTCTCTGTTCGGATCCCTTTGGGTGGAACGCTACACTTTGTACCACCACGTGGTTCGATTGCGTTATTAGGTATTCATTGATTGCTGTGGAGGCACTCAGGTAGCAGGTTTGCACACAACAGCTGTCTGTTCTTGGAGAGTTGCTGTTAGGTCCGTAATCGGATATTCTCTGGCGGAAGTCCGAAAGTAGCTATCTGGCGATAAAGGTTGCAGATGCCACAACACTTATTGGAGCGGTAGAGATCAGCCTGCAAGCTGATGTGAACATAGTAGCGGCAAAGCTGGTACACAGCATCGTTTGTTAGCAGACACAGTGTGTATGGCCTGGCCGATGAGATTATTCCACCAAAAAAGTATAATGGGCGCACGGATGGGTAACTACACGAAGGCCCCATCAGCCGGATGGATATGCACCTCGCTTCGCAACCCCAGATGAAGAGAAAAGAATGCTGCTTCTGGCATACTCAATAAAAGGCGAAGCGCCCAATTGATGGCTCTATTTGTGCAGGAGAATCCGACTGTATGCAGGAATCACAACATTTCCAACCACTATGCAATACCTTATTGTGGTTATGGCGGCGAACAGCTCAAGAGCAGGCCTCGGGAGGTAAAAATGCATAAGCAAGGAAATATGTAACATCGGTCTGTTGAAAAATACGAAAACTTGGGTCGCAAAAGCCACAAGGCAGACCGACAGCAGCTTCAACGAGGTATTATCTCATGTCCACCCGAAGTGTCACGTCAGGTGGTCGCACAATGGACAGCAGCCCATCATGTAGATAGCTGACTGGTGTTGATAAATGTTTTGAGGTTCCATGAACAAAGAGCGCAGCGCCTCAGCTTCAAGCCCTTGAACAAGAGAACTCGAGAGTAGAAGCTTCCAATGCCTCATATTGGCCAATCACGCGCAACTTTAGCGTGCCTGAGAAGAAACCGCCAGGTCACGGTTTAGAGCCAATGGATGCTGGGACTGTGCCAACCGGCTCTAGCTAACAATGGAAGGTAAACGAGAAAAGGGCGCTACAGGTAGCTCATGCTTCTAGGCAGTCGCTCACAGTCCCCCAACAGCGCGCCTGCTTGTATTGTGGGAACTGGGGTCATATAATTTGGCGTTGAAACTGCATGCAAAGAGGTATGGAACTGGAACAACTAAGCCGGTCTAGCGGAAATAGCCTGCTTGGCGTCCGAAATATGCGCATCAGGGAGAGGGCAGGTCCCTCGTGCGGGCTGCGGTGCAGTGAAGATGGCCACAGATAATCGAGCCGCAGTTGAGTATCCACCACGGGTCAATTTTGCGTTGATGCAAGTTCACATCAGTGGTGTTCAGAATTGTTAGCGTTGCTGAGAAACGAGTATACCTCTCTGGAGACCAGACGACTGTTGCAGGCAAACGAGACATCTCAGTACATCCAAAGCCAATGAATGGGCAGGAAACCCCTGCATCAAAGCCCAATATGCTACAAGCTGTAGCGTTTCGACGTTTGGTTGAGTGTCTACGTACGGAGACACCTAGCCAGGAATTTGATAATGAGTGCATTCAACAGGAGTTCCCCTATTCCTCTGCCGGCGCCCCTCAGATGCCCCACATTATGGAAGCGAGACAGCTGAGCTGCACATTGCTGCCCCCTCTAAGTGCTGTCAGGATTCGCAGCTAGTTGCATGTTGCATATAGCGAACACGCCCGTATCACTGCTTCTCCTTGTATGCCGCGAACGCTGTTCTGCGGGGGATAAGATATGCAAAGAGCAAAAGCAGCTGTATAGCTCTTCGCAAATTTCTGAGCAATACAAATATTGTAGTGGACAGTGCCTCTAGGAAAGGCTTGTCCCGCTACCTTACCGAGACCGTACATACGCATCAACTTAGTGAGTTGGCTACTGCAGCGGTAAACCCACTAGCAGCGTCAACTTTGGCAGCAATAGCAACGACTAACGGCGCCAGGAGACAACATGAGCAGCTAAAAGAGGTACGCAGGCCAGCGTTGTTGTTGCAGAAGCAGAGCGAACGTTGGTGGGGTACAACACCGCTACCGTCAACACCAGCAACATGGGTATTGGTAGCAACAGCAGCAAGAGGAAGAAACAGTTATTCTGCATGCATGACACTGCGCCCCGTGCCAAGACTTCGCATGGAAAGGCGGTAATGGCTGCCGCTATTGCAGCCGCTGCTGTTGTGCTACGCCTGTGCCGCTTCCGCAGGAAGCTCCCACTGGCATTGCGGCTGCTGCATCGGCTCCAGTTGAGAGGTATTTCGTCTTTTGTTAATAACTTCGTACTGAAGGCTATGTAGCAGCAGTTTCGTCGTTCGTATTTCTGGTGGTGTGGTGCGTCGACGGTGTGCCAGCGACGCGCGTCCTTTTCTCATCCGAAGTCCGATGTAGCACTAGCAAAGCCACCACGTTTTTAATGCCTTTTGTTGCCGCTTGGCTTTTTACTGCGCCATGAGCACTGGACTCAAGCCTGCGTAGCGGTTTCCCTGTATTCCCACTGCCATCGTACTCCCGAAGCTTGATGGCAGGCGCGCTGCTGCGGCTGCTCCTTGTCTATTGTGAGCGCAGTTTCACCGCGCACTCCTGCAACTGCTCTTCCAGGAGGTCTTCGTGCGACAGCCGCTTCAGCTGGGCAGTCGATCGCCGCGCAGTGATGAGCCATCGCTCCTAGCCTCTTCCCGAGGAGCAGCGGCGCAGAGCACACAGCAGCAGCACGCGCAGAAACGCAGCAGCCATGCCTTCAACTGCATCATGCAGTTTCGCATTTCCTCCAGCCCCATGGCCTCCATGAAGCCAGGTGGACGGCGAGCGCCAGAGGCAACGAGTAGCGCAGCACCAGCCTCCGCAGCAATCGTACGGGGGGGAGGAGAAGACGCCAGTCCTTCCACTGAAGACAGCAGCTCGACGGCGAGCATGCCCATAGTTGCCGCCGATTTCTCCAGTTGGGGAAATAAAAAGCCTCCGCTTGCCTCCTTGCTGCTGCAGGGGGGGGGGCCACTCTGTAGCCAGGAGGTCGAACTTGCAGCCGCCTTGGGAATGCATGCACCGACCCCTTCCCCCCTCCCCCTGCCACTGACGCATGCCTTCTGGAGTCAGGGATTTGTTGACAGGCAGCAGCAACAGCTGCTGCAGGAACACATGCAGCAACAGCTCCAAGAGAAGCCGCTGGTGTACCAGACCGCTGCACAGTGCATTAGCAACAGCAGCAGCTCCTCCTGTATCAGCAGCAACGGCGACACTTGCGGTACCAGGGGGGTTGTAGCAAGGAAATTCGCAGCAGCAGCACTGACAGAAGCATTGCCAGGTGACACTTCTATTGCTGCTGCAACGATGCAGCCTCCCTTGGTCGCCATAGATTTTCCTGCGTCCGGCGCAACAGCAACAGCAGCAACAGCAACAGCAGCTACAGCAACAGCAGCTACAGCAACAGCAGCTACAGCAACAGCAGCAGCCACCCCATTGCCAGCACCCCCCGTGCTACCCCTTAACCTGCAGCATATTTTTGCGTGTATGTCCTCTCATCAGCAGCAGCAAGGGGTGTTTTCGACCCTTCTACAACAGCACTTACAGCAGCAGCAGGCTGCTCCTCTTGGCTGCGCAAGTGCTAACTCCTCAGGAGGCTTGAAGTATCAGCAGCAGGTTGCGTTTGCAAGTATTCCAGCGAGCAGTGCTAGTTGCAACGGCCTTCTCGAGGCAGAGCAGGAGATGCAGCAGCAGCAGCAGCGGCAGGAGCAAGCAAAGCCCCTGCCGTCTTTCCTCTCCTCCTTGCTCTCGGAAGGGGCATGTCAGCAGCTGCAGCAGCCGGCTGTAGCAGCCGCAATCGAGGGCAGTAGAAACAGAGGCGGCCATGGCATCGCTCTTGCTGCTCCTCCTGGCTTGTGGACGGGCGGATGCTCCCAGCAGCAGGCTGCAGCTGCGCACAAGCTGCAGCAGCTGCTGCAAACGCAGGAAAGCTGCGGCGCAAGCAGCAACGGCAGCAGCAGAAGCGCAAGGTGCAGCGCCGATTCTTCGACGCCTCCCCCTCTCCCGCCCCTAGCGGCTCATGTCTACGCAGGCGGAGATTTCGATACCCCTGCGCTGGCTGCAGCCGCAGCAGAAGACGCTGCTGACTCTCAGACAGCGCCAACAACGGCAACAATGGCTACACCAACAGCAACAATTGCAGAAGACGCAGGCGCTGTCGGCTGCGTTGTCGACGGGAGCCAACAGTCCAGCCAGCGGGAAGCAGCGTCAACTGCTGCTCCCTTGCCGATAGGAAGCAGAAAGCGTCCATGCCGCCGTCCGACTGCTTCTTCTAGCATTGCGCAGATAGTACCCCTGGAGCAGCAGGCAGAGTCTGCGGGAGCCTCGCTAGCTGTGGCAGCAGCAGCAGATGCGACGACCTCGGAAACCTCCTTGCAGCAGCAAGCGCAGCAACTGCAGCAAGCGCAGCAACTGCAGCAAGCGCAGCAACTGCAGCAAGCGCAGCAGCAAGAGGGTTCCCTGGAAGGACCTCCTGAAGTATCCGACCAGCAGCAGTCTCTGCCGCAGTTGCCTCAGCAACAGCGACTGGGAGTGAGTTTTTACAGTGGTCGTCAAGCCTGGGTAGCCGAAATCAAGAGCAAAGGACGCCGACGTTTTCGAGTATTCTCTGCAGCAAAGTATGGCTTTGCGGCGGCTCAGCTGCTAGCGCTGCAGCAGCGGCAGCAGTGGGAGGCAGCGAAGGAAACAGGTGTCTTGGAGGAGCAGTTGGAGCGAAGCAGCAGCAGCCGCTGCTGTCCAGTCCAGTCTGGAGTGAAGGGAGTGTACTACGATCGCGCTCGCAAGGGTTGGCGCGTGGTGTTGACGAGCAAGAATAGGCAGAGGTCTCGCTTCTTCTTGTCGGCGAAGTTTGGTAGCGAAGAGGCTAAGCGATTGGCCATCCAGTGCAGACACCTCTGGCTGCAGCAAATCAGCAGCGGCAGAGAAGGAGACGTCTTCAAGAACGCCAGGTCTGTATCTACACCCAAGCACAGACTGTCGGCTGCCTCTGTTCTCCAATCCGCAGCATCTCTGGAGGAAGTTGCGGCGCGAGATGAGGCAGAGAGCGCAGCTACATCCAACGAGGAGGCCGCTTTGTCCTTCGCAATGCAGCAACAGCAGCAAGAGCAAGAGCAACAAGAGCAGCAGCAGCAAGAGCAAGAGCAACAAGAGCAGCAGCAGCAGCAAGAGCAACAAGAGCAGCAGCAGCAGCAAGAGCAACAAGAGCAGCAGCAGCAGCAAGAGCAACAAGAGCAGCAGCAGCAGCAAGAGCAGGCAGCCAGTCCGAGGGTTCTACCGCTGCAGCTACAAAAGGCATCAAGTGGTGTTGCACTGCGTTTCTTGCCGCAGACGGTCCCAGCAGCAGAAAGTAGAAGAAGAGGAGCTGAGGGTGACGTCAACGCCGAAGGAGGGAAGCTTCAGAGGCAGCAGCAGCTGCTGCTGCAGCACGAGGGTGTCGCATCGGGGTGCTCTGCAGCTACAGTAGGCCTTTCTGACAGACTGCATGTCCTATTGAAGGATTCATACATCCAGCAGCAGCTAAAACAAAGCGAGGGAAGCGCTTCAAGTGCTGCTGGTGATGGTGCACAAGACGAAAACAGAAGGCAGGATCAGTCACCAGCGCAGCAGCAAGGTGCAGTGAGCTCCCTAGCTTCAGCGGCTGCAGCATTGCAGCAGCAGCAGGTGCCTGGGGAGTATGTGGATGCCAGCGTCTCCGCAGTCTCTCCACGATGCGCAGCAGGTACAGCAGCCCCTCGTGTACCAGCAGGATTATTGGCTTGCAGCGTAGGTAAGCGCCGGAAATTACGCCAGCAGCAACGCGCGTCAGCTGTCATGGCGTCTTTTTCAGCAGCAACTTCCAACCCCGACCCTGAAGCAAACACGGCAACAGCGGCCGCAGCAATAGGCGCATGCGATGTGCGTGGCGTGTATCACGATATACGAAACAGTGCATGGGCTGCTACGATTGGCTTCAACGGCAAGACGCTTAAGCGCAGCTTTGCAGTGGGGAAGCACGGCTTTTCGGCTGCGCTGAAGCTCGCCATACAGGCCAGGAAGAAGTTGGAGACTTTACGTGCACGCTGCAATAGAGGTAGAGGCGACGGCGAAGCCTGCAACAGCAGCAGGGTGCAGATTGGACAGCAGGCTGTAGAGGCGGCTGGGGTGAACCAGCACCAATCACAAACGTCAACTTCTTCTTGTTTAGCTGGTGAGAAGGACGCAGTTTCCACTATGCAGCAGCAATTGCAGCAGCAGCAACTGCAGCAGCAGCTACAACAGCAGCAGCTACAACAGCAGCAGCTACAACAGCAGCTCGTACTTCAGCAGGCAGCTACAACAGCGGCAGCAGCCGCAGCAGTTGCTGCGGGGGGAAACGACGGCTTGTGCATTTCGGGGTCGGATGAGCAGCAGCTGCAGCAGCAGCATCGTATGGCTAGGGATTTATCGTGTGCCGCGTCTGTAACGAGTTTTTCAGTAGCAGCATCTGGAGCCGTTGCCGCAGCAGGAGGTGCAGGCAGTTCGGAAGTACCCAGTAGCACCAGCATGAGCATTCCAGGTGTTTCTCTTCATGCAGGACCAGGAGCAACAAGGGCAGGAGCGAAGAATTTAATTTCGACTTTTCTCCCACTGCCCCCGTGTGGTAACCTAGAGACCGCTGGAAGCAGCAGCAACAGGGCGAACAGTGGCAGCTGCAACGCGTTGCTGGAAGGGCGATTTGGACTGAAGTCCACTGTGGCAGAGGCTTTGACAGTGCTTCTGCACCAAAGCGACTTGCAAAGGGCCATGCTGGGAAGCTCGAAGTTTCAGTGCACACAGCAGGAGCTGCTGCGGCAGCCCTTTTTGCTTCGTGAACAACAGTTGCTACTTCAGCAATTTCAGCTTCAGCAGCAGCAGCAGCTAATGGATGGGCAGCTCAAGGACGAACAACAAGCGACAGTTCTTAGAGCAGCGGCAGCTGCCGCTGCCGCAGTAGGCCTTCCAGGTATCACGACCACCCACTTGACAGATTCTAATGCTGCTGTAGATGCCGTCACTGCTCTGCTGGTGCGCCCCTGCCCCCCCACAGTGGGTAAGCAGGAGGAGTTCAGAGATGCAGGAGGAGAGGCAGCCGCAGGATCAGAGGCCTCTGCGGCAGCAGCCCTTGATACGCGCGAACGAGCACCGGCAACAGCATGGGGACACGAATGCGCCTTGGTAAATTAAGATGCAGCAGATGCTCGAAAAACTGGGGTTGACTCGTGCCCAGAAGGGGCAGCACTTGCTTCTGCTGAAGCACACACACCCCTCACACACACACACACATTGCTGCTGTAGGCGGAGCAGCGCTACCCATTGGATAAACGGATGCCTGCCCCTCGTAGCTTAGTCCCAGTTGCATCAGTAACAAATAGCGGTCGCGAGTTTACAGCAGCAAAAGCAGCAACGGATTATGGGAATACACGTAGAACATGCCCACGACAGCCCAACCAGTTCTTCTGCATAGATCCTGCGTGAAACCTGAATACCCTAGTGGCCCCTTGAACGCATCTACGTGTGTTTTTGTGCTCGCTTATGCATATTCATAGGCGTTTTCACCTGTGTGTGTATCTATTGACTTCCTGTATCTCATGATACATACCATTTCACACGCGTAGGTACTTGTACATGTGACCCTGCGCGTGCATACGTATTCACATACGTATCTATGTATACGTATACGCACATGAAGATATGCATATATGAGCATCCGTGCCGGCATGTATGCTGCTGCGGCTATTTTTTTCACCCACGCACTGCCACGTTACCGTCGTGGCGAGGTCCTTAGGCTGTACGGGACGCTGGAGTTATGACGCTCGCTGTATGTGTGTGCAGCTTTGCACGGTCATGCATATGTATATGGAGATATGTACAGGGGTTCGCACTTCCCTTGATAGTTCTATCCTTTTTCTGTTCAGTGCGTGTTGAAGGTATCTAGTTTTTGCTCTTGGGTGGGTGTCCGTACCCCTCATCATTGGCGTGGCCAGACCGTTTTAAAGCAATCTGTATTCAGCGAGTCAAACGCAAGCTTCCTGGACATTTCAGGGCCTTATTTTACGTCGTGGTGTCTGTAGCCTGGTTAGCAATAGGCAAATGCGTTTAGATCCCGCGACCTGTGGTCAGCTTCCTATTCTCTCACTGGCCATACTACCTAGCTACTAACTCTATGCGCTACCAGTGATGGAGCAGTTTGTAGTAACACTGAATACAATCAGGATGGGCAGCGTCTACGAGTTGTAGTGGCACCGGAACAAGTTCGGGTTGTAGCTATAAATGCCACATGGAGGGGCGTAAATAGAGTAATATGAAATAACGCATGGGATACAGACTACCATCATGAGCTGGAGAACACAATTAGCAGCGACGCATAATGCCACAGAGGTGGAAAGCATGAGAATATCCAGGTGATGTGCATTGGGGAGGAGGTACGGCAAATTTTCAGAGCAAGAGCTGGCTGTTGAAGAAGGAAGGGCAGTACAGGACGGCAAGATGGGAGGCGAACAGCGTCTGAGGGAGAACAACAACAGAAGATGAGCGGAATATGGCGGCATTAAACTATGCAATGCTACGAACTGTAACTCCATCTAAGGTCTCCTTGAACATTCACTGAACTCCCTACACCTCAACACACACTTCATGAAAGTTATCCAAGGAATTTCACGAAAACTTCCTCCTCCTTCTGTTCGCGCCCCTCAGAGTTTCTACATAAGGCGAGAGGGACTGCTAAGCTGCGCGTAGCTGGACCCTTCAAGGATCCTGATCATTCACATATACTTGTTAGAGCGTGCGCGCAGAACTCTGCATCTGTTTGTATCGGGCTGACAGTATTCTGCATTCAAACGATATATGCACGATTTAAGCCGATTAGATAATTCTTAACTAGTTCTAAGCCAATATAAGTAGTGTATTAGAATATGCCAAAGTGTATAGATGTCAGCATCAACGCACACTGTGGCCCGCTTTTGAGGCAATGATCACAGCACAGTAATTCTTAACTTTCGCTCTATTAACACTCCACAGGAGTGTGCAATGTGTTCAGCATGTAAGTAGAAATGCCAGCACCCGTGGCATGGATCTCTCCAGGGTGTACACATTGGGGTCGTAAGTGGGATCAACACCTAAAGATGTGGCGACAGCAGAAATGCTCGACAAAACAAGCGAAAGGGTAAAAAATCTTTTGTGTGAACACTACACTGCAAAATTCTGGGGTTTCTGGATGCTCAGGATCAGGGTGTAGGCCTACGGTTCAGGGCTATGGGCAGCATTGCCAGGGGGGTGGGCTGTGCTCCTTGTACAAAACTGCTGCTCAGCTGTATACAGAGCTCGCAAAAATGAACTGAAATGCAGAATTTGAACTTACTGCCTAGCTCAGATGGCTTAGGGTCTACAGTCTTGGTCAGAGAGTGTATCGCCTCGGCAGTTTGTAGGTCTCGGGGGCTTTGAGAGAGTTTTGACTCGTTGCGTTAGTCCTTGGTCTGTTGTTTGCTTCTTCTTTGCTCCCAAGCAGCCTTTGCGGTCATACGACTGCAGGCTGCAGCGGTTGTAGCAACAGGTATTGGCAGCGTCAGCTGCTGCATCGCCTATTACCACAGGGGGCCACTAATTTTGGTCTACACAGCGCCTTACACGATCTGTGCTGTTGCAAGAGCAGCTGATGACCCAAGATCTTGGTTCCACCGTGGAACTATGACGTCTACGTCAGAAGAGGCTGCATCCACACAAGCAGCCTCGAACAGAGCGCCTTCCTTACCTGCGAGAGAAGAAAGCAACAGTTTCAGCCGCAGAGGTAGCCTGCGCACCAGCGAATGGAGGTCTCCCATGCACGTTCGACGGGCACAGCTGCAGAGGATCCTCCAGGAGATCCTTGGAAGCGACAACGGCAGCAGCAGCCGGCCCGATACTGCCGTGGACCCCCCTGCCCCTGGGGTGTCTCTCCAGCTGACCGCGCCTTTGACACCTGGATGTGCATCAGCTCTGGGATTCTCAGGAGCCTTGAGAAAGGAAGAGGCAGCAGCAGCAGAGGCGCCTCCCGGCGTCTCTCTTCCTGCTTCTTATGCAACTGCAGGAACCCACGGTCCCGATAGACGCAATCTTTGTCTAGCACTTAGGAGGGATGTCAGCATGAGCAGCAGCAGTGACAGTGACGTATCGCGCTCGGCTTCCTCCCCCAGCTTATCGTCTTGCTGGACTCTACGCCTGCCAGTCGCTGCGCCTTCGGACTTAGATGCCTCAGCAGCACTAGAACTAGCGGCACCCGCCGTGGGAGGTTGGATACTGCATCATCATCAGCAGCAGCAGCATGCAGCCGAGCCATGTGTTCGCGCGTCAGTGGACAGGGTGGATGAGGCTGGGGATGACGAACGCGAGTACCGGGGCCCTGTGAAACACCGGCACCGCGAGGAGCTGCGGAATTTCTTGGGAGATTTCTGCCAGCAAGAGATCCAGCGAAGCTGGCTGCCTTTTCAGGTGTACAGACTCGAAGTAACCATGTACATTTGTGTGACGTGGGGAATCGTACTGCTCGCCCTGGGCATCGCGCTGCTGATCTTCGCCTTAGATGCCACAGAAGTCGTTATCGAGTACAACAACAGCACTCCAGAGGGTGACGTCGTGCCATTCAATGTTCAAAAACGCCTCAACCCCCCAGTGTATGTGTACTACCGCATACAGGGGTTTTATGCAAACTATAGGCCATACGTAAAGGATGGGCCTCCGCAAGTCAGCTCAAGCTACAAGTGCGACGGTAGGTGTCGCTAACGCCTCCAGCATGCCCGCCTGTGTATGTACTCCGCGAAATCGAGTCGTCTCTGTGCAAGGGGAAGGAGAGTGCTGCTGTCGACTGTCGTACGGATCTTGTGATCGTGGGACCTGCTCCTTGTTACGGCGCTATGACCACGCATCTTCCTTGCGTTATCCTGCTGCATGGCTGGTTTTGTGACTGTCCGATTGCAGAAAAGTCTTCTGCCGATGCATCCTCTGGCACCCGCTGTATACATGAGTTATCATCCCTCGTCTTCTCTTCTTCTGCCTGCATCCGTTCCGCTGTCTGTACGCAAGGTTTCCGCCGCGCACCAGTTTGTTCACGGATGGGGCCGTGTCTGTGTGTGTGTGTGTGTGTGTGTGTGTGTGTCTGTGTGTCTGTGTGTCTGTGTCTGTGGGTGTCTTTCTGTGCAATTGCTCTTTTATTTTCGTCTCTCCATGCCTGCCTTCCTCACATTTCGTGCTGGTTGCATTTTTTGCATGCCTCTTGAACTCGCGTTGCCGCGAGGGTCAGTTTGTGCCCCTCTTGAGTAGTGGGACGTGCGTCCTTTACCTCGAGAGGAAGAGGGGGAAATTTTTTTTCTTTGGAGTTGACGTTGCGATCTGAGAAGGCAGAGGAGGCGCAAAGCAGCGCCATGAGGGGTGCCAGTCCTGCACGATTTCGTGACACATGGGGTAGCTGAGGCGCTCCAAGGCGCTGCAAGCCACGGGTGTGCGTCTGTACGGCCCAAGTTGTTGCACAGGCCTTGCATGCTTTCCCCTTTGTGCGTGGCATTTTTCTCCTTCGCCCCTTCCTTCTCGTACAGGGCGCTTCATGGGGAGCACACTTGTCTCTGTGTGCAAGACGCTGTATTTTGCAGTCATCCGGACTCGAGAAGAGGCCCTCGCGCTTCGTTTAGTAGGCGGGGTGCAGACACTGCCTCGCTTGGAATTTGCTGCTGAGTCTGGACTGCCCATGAGAACGTCAGCCACTGAGGAGGCTTTTCCATGCGGAGCTCAGTCTGTCGCTCTCTTCAACGACGACTTGGAGCTTAAGAAGCAGAAGGGGGGAGGCCCCGTCACCACTCTGAGCCTGAACACCAACGATGTGCCCTATAAGTGGGATTTTTTGCAATTTATGGTGGGCAGCTTCTGCACACCACTGCTGAAAAAAAACAAAGTTCCTAGACAGACCGCCCCGTGCGCCTGAGGCGAGGAGCTCTCCTCGCCGCGCATTCACCAGCCCACAGAATGTGCAGAGTACAACATCAAACAGTGGCTTAGAGGTGCGCAGGCGTGCCGCTGGACGGCTGCAGCGGCTTTCCTGCTGTATGGCCAGCGGAGCGAAACGCTTTCAAGGGTGTTTGTGCGTCGAGCGCTTGCGTGTTTGTGCCGCTGCCTGCCAGGTGAAGAAATCCTCCTGGACTGAAAGTGGTCTGGAGCCTTGGATTTTACCCTCAGACCCCAAGTTTAGGGTGTGGTTGCATCCTCCAGTGACGCCTGATTTCCAGAAACTCTATGGGATCATCACGGAGGCGCTAGTTCCCAATGTGCAGTACTACGCAGTCCTCTCGCAAAACAGTAATTTTAAGCCCTAAAAAGTCCTCTTAATGTCAGGGTGCTGGTTTGAGGCACCTTTTTCAAGTCTGAGGCGTGGCATTTTTTTCTCGCCACGCCTTTCAGGCTAGAGGGAGCTTCCAGAAGAAAACAGTGGCGGGTTGAGGACGCGTTGCTGGACGCTCTGCTGTCTTCTTGCACGCTGCAGAGTGGCCTGCTGGGGAGTGGGGAGCGAAGAAGGCATTCGTCATTGCGTCGTTGACTCCAATGGGGGGGCCTAACATGCCGCTCGCCCTCTTCACCATAGTAACCGGTGGGAGGGGAGGGACACTCCATAAACCACCGACCTCAACACACTGCCGAGATAGCTTTTTCTGGCACGCGGCTTGACGGCGATGCCTGCACCAGCGGGGGCCCCAGTATGCTGCGTCTAGCGTTGCCTCCCTTTTTGCACCGTTCGCTGTGGGGTGGCATTTTGCAGGAATCTTGTGCATCCTGCTGGTCGTGCTGCTGTGGGTTATGAAAAAGATGAAGGTCAGATTTGTTAGCTCCACAGGTGAGAAGCTCTCTGAGTTTTGGGGTGCGCGACCGAGGCGTGCGGAGACGAGTAGTAGTCGTCGCAGTCGTCGTCCTCATCGTCACAAAGCGCTTCACACATGTTTTTTTTCTGTATTCCCCGTTGGTTGTGTCTTGCGAGCGCTCCTTCGAGCCGAACACATGTAGATCAGGTTCGCGTTATTTTATTTGCTTGCGCATGCGCGCGTGCGCGGTGCAGCGCGTGGAGTGGACTTGCAAATGGGGCTTACTGCTGCTGCAGGTGAGTCTAGACTTCACGGTTGCGTATTTTTATGCATGTTCACATAAGGCTTGCCCGAGGCCTCTTAACCGTGCAGTTGTCGTCGTCGGCTGCTGCCGCTGCTGCTGCGACCACGATCACCATCCGCACCCCTTTTGTCGTGCGCTTTCCTTTGGATGGGGAAGCATTGCTGTCTGCGTGAGTGTTGCTGCAGTTGCAGAAGCGCCTGCTTCCTCCTTAGCGGCCAGTGGAGGCGCGATGGTGTCCAGTCGGCAGAAGGGAGCGGCGCTCAACAACGGGGGTAACTCCGCGAGTGGCATGGTGGAACAGAACGCCATCGACGCCGTGCGAATGAAACGGCTTCTCCCCCTGCTGCCCGCTTCTCCCGCCTGTCTGTGCCCCGCACATTGCAGGCTGCTAGATGACGGCTCATGGGATATCCTGAGAGGCTACACGCCAGCAGCAGCTGCTGCTGCTCGTGCCAGCTCTGCTGCAGGGGCAGCAGCAGCAGAGCGTCCGCCTTTGGGGCGCTCGGAGGAAGTGGACGAAGAAGAAGAAGAGGAAGAAAGAGAGGGGGAGGGAGAGGATGACGACGGAGCCAGCGAAGCAACAGACGAGGACTACCAAGAGCGAAAACGAGCCTATCTCTCTTCATTCCGCGAAGTCTCGCAGGATACCTACGGAGACAAACCAGAAGGGGGTTCCTCCGTTGGGCAGCTGGAGGATCCGCCGAACAAAGCCCTCTAGGGCGCTACTTTTTACATTCGTTTTGGCCACGCCTTTATTTACCGTCGTCGCTATATACATAGGGGTGTGTCTCCGTTGGAGAGAGAGGGGTCGTGGAGAAAGTATCCTAGCATTCTTCAGCACCTGGCGTGCCTTTATGAGCAGTTTGTGGCAATGGTTCAAGTGCGTTCACCTTCCTCCGTGGATGCACATACGTGCACTCTGTATGGCATTTATGCACTGCGCGCGGGCCTACGTGTTCGCATGATGGACGAACATGGGGCATGTTTGCGTGTCACTGGAGCGTTCCTCGTTCGTCTCTTCGCACGGATAGGCATGGAGTCATGTATCTTCTTCCCCCCAACTCGCATGTCTTCTAGGCACACATTACCGTGGACCCCCGCGCGTGAGCAGCACGACGTGTTGAAGCCTCCCACGCACGGTGGCGGTAGGGGTGTCCACAGACACCTGTTGATAGCGACGATGCATGCATGCATGCGCACGCGCTTTTATGTCACTTGCATTCCTCGTTTCTGGATCGGAGAATCACGGACACCTTAGTCTGACTCCACGGCGCCACCACTGAAACTTTAGAGACCCATCAATAGGAGCATCCGAACCAACGAGCTAACCAGCCGGCTCCCTCAGGAACAACATTATTACTCAAATGCTTGCTAAGAAAAGAAGCTCAACTAGTGTAGCTAGCTAGCTAGCCCTTTGCCGGGAAGCTTGCTTACAAAAAGGCAGCTCGTTACACTCGGGTGGCTAAGCCCCTGATGAAGCGAACTACCGGAAAAAAGCACACAGCGGAGGGAAGCCAGTCGGCCCTAAAACTAAGTCTTGAGATGAGGCCTTATAGACCAGCAGCAAAGCTGGCTAGCACTCGAGGGGTGGTGCCGGGGGTGGGTGACCCCCCGACACCATCGTAAGTCACTCTTCCTTCTTTGTTTCTGCCGCTGCCTTTCCCTCGCGTTCGCATGTTGTCATTTCTACTGCAGATTCAGCAGTGGGAGGCGGCGAGAGGGTGACACGCCAACAACGCAAAGGGATATCCTGCAGCCGTCGCACTCGAGGCCAGAAGACAGCCGTCCAGCACAAGCCTGCAGCACCCGGCGAAAGAACCCACACAGAGTAAAATCTCTAGCTCCTGATGCTATTTAGCACCTTTTCCACATAAGATACAGTCGAGGACGACCATCTTTCGCTACAAGATAATTTCCTAAAGTGCAAAAAATGACGCAGGCGCACCGAGGATGACGCAGGCAGCCACTTGGACGAAGTACCCATCCAAAACCACTGGGCATGTTGCTCCAGCGAGAGATACTGAAACCAACAGAAAAACAGAGAAAATATTGCAAACGATTCTCACACATACATATATATATATATATACAGATATCTATATATATATATATGTCACCCCAGTCGCAATACGTGCTCGCAGAACGAACAATTGGTGCAGAGTGAATACCAGTGCTTCAGCATCTCTGGCCCCCCCGAGACAGCGCGTGCCAAGAGAACATACAGTCAATTCCAGTGCAGTCCTTGATGGATAGCGAGTCCATTAGCCATAGACTCACAGCACGCGGCCACTGCATCGCACCGAAACTCGCAATGCAGAAGCCCCCTATTCAAGTTTTCCGAAGTCTACTCTAGTAGTAGAAACGGCTTTCCGGTGAGCAGCGCGCCTGTGTCTTAAGCCAAGGCGAGAGAGCTACCTGCGAGCCGATGTTCGACATGGTGTTGAGGAACGTCATATAAGATCCCCCAATTCGCGGGTCAGAGACTCTGGCGAAGAATGCCATCTGCAAGAGTGCCCCACCTCACACGGCATGAACGCGCGCACACAGATAGCTCGGAGGCAGGAGGCGCAGCCAGCTGGCTATCTAAGGGCACGCTGCTGCATCACCCCTAGCAACAAGGAAGCTTCAAAACAGCCCATCTGCCTGAAGAGCTAGCTGCCTGCCTGCCTGCCTATCTGCAGCAGGAAGGAAGGGGGGACGAGACGGGTAGGAGAGGCCTTTGCAGAGCGACTCTTGAAGGCCCTTCCTGTTTCACGGGGATCAAGCCAGCTGACTGAACGTGTTGAGAAAGGGCGCTCAACCCACGCACCATCGAGACAAACACTATGTCAGAGCAGACGTTGTAAACCGTTGTGATGAGAAAGAGGCCTATGTAAAACAAAGTCGCGTTTTCCCCAGTGTACAACACTGGCGTCGCAGCAACGGCGGCTGCAGCAGAGGCAAACACACACAAAAAACAGTGACAACAGCAGCGGTCACGAAAACAACTGGAGGGGTAGAGACAGCCGGAGAGCCATACTCGATCCCCCCTCCCCGCACGGCGAAGGGAACGCCTTTTGACAAGGCGCGTGAGGGGCAGAAACAGAAGCGGACATATATATATATATATATATATATATAGAGCAAGTCGAATTAAAGAGACCTGCTGGAAAAATACAGACAGAAAAAATTTTCAGGGGCAATAGAAAGCCTGACAACACACCGGCCCATACGCAGCAGACGGCAAGACGAAAGAGATATCCATACATAAACAGCCGCAGTGGTGCCGACCCCGTAATCCACTTGCTCACCTGCAGCAACAGCAGCGCGAGCAGCATGCACAAGAATTCGGCAGCAATGCAGTGAACAAACGCAAATTCGTCATTCTATACGAAGTTCTCGTATTACCAGCAGCAGCTGCCTTGTGGGGCTTGGGCGAGAAGGCGAGCTTCCTTCTTTTTCATGAAGCGTTTTGCCCCCCTCTTCCTCTTCCCCCCTTTTCCCCTCCTCCCCAACATATACCTCTAAACACGAGTTAGCGAAGGCTTACGAGGAACGGGCAGACAATACCAAATGGCATGAGGAGAGGTGCGAAGAAAGCGAGCTGCTCCTTCGAGACACCACGTTCAATAATCTTGAGCTGCGTAGCTGCATCCACTGCAGCAAAGCCTACACGAGCCGTCAGGATCACGAGCATCAGTTGCCGCACTGGGGAGAGGAATAGCAGCTGCGGAGACACCCGAAACAGATGCACACTACACTACCCATGCGCAGAGGCCGTGACGAAAGAGGCAACCGCAGAAGCTAAAATCAGAGAGAAGCTGGAGCCAGCAAACTCGCGCAGTCTTTCAAATGTAGACACGTCTACAGAGAAGAACGGCTAAAAGCGGAGGACGAAGGACAAAAAGGTTAGAGGGAGAACATGCACTGCAGAAAGCAGCTGCATGCGGCGGAATCGGCAGAATGCGCGAGCGCAGCAGCACATACACTAGAGGCAGGCACACAGATGAGCATCTTGAGACAGGAAAGGGCAAGGTGCCCCGAGAAGAAGACTGCACTGTTGCAATACCTTCCACAATAGGCGATATGACTCGAGAGCGCCTTTCGGCTCGCAGCTGCCCTCCTCTTCACACCTCGATTCCTCGTCACCCCTGGTAAAAGAAGCACACACACGTACATATACACACACATATACAGACACAGACACGCACATATACACATACACAGACACGCACATATACATACACAGACACGCACATATACAGACACACACACATACATGTATATATATGCACATACACACACATATACACATACACAGACACACATATATATATATATGCACATACACATACACATACACACACATATACACACACATATACACACACCAAGATACATACACACAGACACATCAAGATACATACACACAGACACACATACACGTACACAGACACACATGAAAGGCTGCAAAGCCTGAGAGGAAGTCATGGGTGAAGGGGGGGAATTCTTTGGTGGACACGATTGAGGGAGGGCGCAGTTACATGAACGCTGCATTTTTCCCCTTGCACACAGGCACACCCCAGCAGACATAAGCTGTGAAGGGCATGCCAGCATGGGTGCGCGATCGCGTTTCACTGAGGCGCTGCTGCATGCATGCACGACTCAACACTTTGGATCTTGCTTGGCCTTACCCAGTATCGCCTCCAGCCTGCGCGAGCACGTCGTCTGCGAAGAAATGCATTTCTTCTCTGCCGCTGATGGGACCAACATAATTTGTCGCCTCCACATGAGGGGTGTGGGGCCCCTGGGGGGCCTCCCGCCTCGGGAGTGTCTCGTTTTCAGTCTCCTTGAAAAACAATAGAACCACCGTCGTTGTCACAACAAACACCCACCCCCAGAATCTGCAACCGCAACAGCACAGCAACACGGAAGAAGAGGCAGCATCCCTGAGGCAGCGCACCTTTTGAAAAACACACGGGCAGCAGCACACACGCGCGAGACACCCCGCAGCAAGAGCACGAGGCGCGCTGAAGCCACGGCGATGGCAGCCTCCAAACCAAGAGCCAATGCAGCAACAACGCATGCGCAGTAACATCAGCTGCAGCAATGCTAGTAGCAATGGTAGTAGCAGCAGCAGCAATGGTAGTAGCAGCAGCAACGGTAGCAGCAGCAGCAATGGTAGTAGCAGCAGCAATGGTAGTAGCAGCAGCAATGCTAGCAGCGGCGGCAGCAACGGTAGCACCAGCAGCAATGGTAGTAGCAGCAGCAACGGTAGCACCAGCAGCAGTGGTAGTAGCAGCAGCAACAACAACGGTAGCAGCAGCAGCAGCAATGGTAGTAGCAGCACTGGTAGCAACAACGGTAGCAGCAATGCTAGCAGCGGCAGCAGCAGCAACAACAACGGTAGCAGCAGCAACAACAACGGTAGCAGCAGCAACAACAACGGTAGCAGCAGCAGCAACAACGGTAGCAGCAGCAACAACGGTAGCAGCAGCAACAACAACGGTAGCAGCAGCAACAACAACGGTAGCAGCAGCAACAACGACGGTAGCAGCAGCAGCAACAACGGTAGCAGCAGCAACAACAACGGTAGCAGCAGCAACAACAACGGTAGCAGCAGCAACAACAACGGTAGCAGCAGCAGCAACAACGGTAGCAGCAGCAGCAACAACGGTAGCAGCAGCAACAACGACGGTAGCAGCAGCAGCAACAACGGTGGCAGCAGCAGCAACAACGGTAGCAGCAGCAGCAACAACGGTGGCAGCAGCAGCAGACACAGCTGGACGGACGAAATAAAGGCGGGGAGGTCAACGGCACCCTTTCCGTCTGAACGCTCCATGTTGAGGAAGCGACGAGAGAAGTTGGGATCATTCAGCGCTAAAAATCCGGCGTAAGAAAAACAATACCCCAATGTCTGGCCCACAACGTTGCAAGTCGAGGCGAGGCTGAAAAACAACAGCTGTGGCACCAGAAAAATTGGAGGGGAGCGTCAGGCTATAAGGCTGTATTTGGCTCTAAGGCGATAAGGCTGTATTTGGCTATAAGGCTGTATTTGGCTATAAGGCTGTATTTGGCTATAAGGCTGTAGTTGGCTCTAAGGCTGTAGTTGGCTCTAAGGCTATAAGGCTATATGGCTGTATGGCTATAAGGCTGTATTTGGCTCTAAGGCTCTAAGGCTGTATTTGGCTATTAGGCTGTATTTGGCAATAAGGCTGTATTCGGCTCCAAGGCTATAAGGCTGTATTTGGCTATAAGGCTGTATTTGGCAATAAGGCTGTATTTGGCTTTAAGGCTGTATTTGGCTCTAAGGCTGTATTTGGCTCTAAGGCTGTTTTGGGCTTTAAGGCTGTATTTGGCTCTAAGGCTAAAAGGCTATAAGGCTGTATTTGGCTTTAAGGCTGTATTTGGCTCTAAGGCTATAAGGCTGTATTTGGCTCTAAGGCAATAAGGCTCAAAGGCTAGAATGCCGTATGGCTCTAAGGCTCTAAGGCTATAGGGCTGTCCGTTGCACTTTGGTACCCTGCTGCATCATCTGCCGGCGTCGAGAAATTACCCCAAAGAACTTAGCAGCAGCAGCAGCAGCTGCTGCTGCTGCAGCTGCACGACAAACATGCGCAGTGGGGGCGATGATGCCTTACCCTTTGTTCTCCGGACTGAGTAGCGTCAACGCCCAGCCATCGACAGCTATATCCTGCAGCAGCAAATGCACAGACATGCAGCAGCAGCAGCGAATGCAGCGGCTTTGAGATACAGCAGCAGACTGCTAAAACAGCAGCTAGGAGGGAGTACGCAAGAGCACCTGGGTGGCCATGAGGAAGTACAAGAATCCGAAAAAGATGCTCAATATGAGCACATTTGGTTCTGCAGCGCCTCCTTGGGCTTCTGCAGCAGCAGCAAAGAAAGCAATGCAAAAGGAAAGGCTGCATGTCGGCAGCCGCAGCGGTGAAGGCGCTGCTGTCGTCTGGCCGGCAGAAAGGGCAGCCAGCTGCATGCACAAGGAGGAGGATACGCAGGAGAAGAAAAAGCAACAACAGCAGCAGCGAAAAACACCACCTCCCCCCTCATATCCCCCTTCTGTCTGTTAGACACGCCGTAACAGCAGAAACAGCCCTCCTTTCCCCTCTCCAACAGCAACAGCACCAGCAGCAGTAGCAGTAGCAGCAACAGCAGCAGTAGCGGCCTCCCTATTTCACTCCCTTTTTCCCTATTTCACTCCCTTTTCCCTCCCTATTTCACTCCCTTTTCCCTCCCTATTTCACTCCCTTTTCCCTCCCTCTTTCCCCCTTTCCCCCTCCTAGGGGCCATAAAATGGTGACAAACCCCTTAACCCCTTCCAGCCCGTCGCCATCAGCACACTTGCATGCCACACACACACACACCTCCAATCCACGTCTGCAGCCTGTCTGGGCTGCTGGCTGCCCATATCATGAGGAATCCCGCAACGAATTGCAGAGGAATTAGCCACGTCCTCCTTCTGCCTAGAGACTTTATATAGCAGCCATCCACCAGGGGAGCCCACAGCAATTTCACGCTGCAGAGGCAACGGGGAAACAGCGAACAGCACATCCAACACACAGGAGTCTACGCACGGGTTCTGATCCTCCACAAAAAGTTGAGACGCGTTAGCCGTCGTAGCACACGGGCAGCACTTTCAGCAGAGGCAGTTTCCAACGCGACGCCTCTGCTGCTTTTTGCGGCAAAACGGCAGCGGCGCGTGCTGTTGTTGTTTTCCTCATGAAGGCAACTCGCAAATCTTCTACAGGAGGAGCGCTCGTACCTAAACGGGAGGGACGTGAGCGACAAGAGCGATTGCTGCTTATAAGATATCTTGTTCAGGAGAAGCAGCGGCAGGCTGCCATCCAACCCCATGGGAATGCCCTATCGACACAGACATAGATATATATAGATATATGTGCATTTACATGTGTGCATGTACATATGTGTATACATACCTATGTATACGTGTATGTACGTGTATGCAAGTGAGTAGATAAGTAGATATGCGTATAGGAAGTATCCCATGCATGTGGCACTGCCGCTGCAGAAATACTGAATAGGCACCTATGCGATCCGCCGGGTGTACATACAGCTCTCGCACGCCGTACATTAACCACCCGGCTTGCAAGAGTAAGCTCAACGACAGCTCAGGCCACAGCAAAGCGCTCGCCGCAGCAGCAGCTTGCGTACTTGTAGGGTGTATAGAAGAAGGAGAAGAGAGATGCTCCCTGAGTCTTTGGGTAGCCAGCGACGGCGAGACCCCATTCTCGCTTTTGCGGCTGACGCTGCCGTGCCTGGTGATTCTGCGCGTGTTCGAGCTGTCATTGAAGAGAGGCTAGAGATGCATCTGTCGAGAATTCTTCACTGCGGTTGCCAAGCTGCTCTGCAGCGACTCCAGCCACTCCCCTGCCTGCGTGTCCTCTGCTGCTGCAGCTTTCGCCGCGTTCGGGTGTACGTGCAGCTCCTGCTGCTGAAACGGCGGCTGATTCTGCGCGATTTAGCGGGCAGGAATCTGCTAAGACAATTCAGCGAAGCACCCTACAACGCTTGCCGCCCTCGGCGCCGTTCATGAAGTGCCGTTGCTGGCCGCATTTATGCTCGTGGGGTTGCTCTGGGTGGTGTCTGCAGCAGAAGCAATGGAAATTACACGCGAGAACGGCTGCAGCCGCCGCAGAGAGAGAAAAAAAGTACAAAGGGGAGCAGCAGTAGCCACAAAGGCACCAGCGAGCCTGCTGGTCCACCCCCCTGGTGGCTGCAGTGATGACACCCACGCGCTGCGGCGCTGCTGCATGCATCTAAGTGTTGTTGGAGATACTTTGATCTTGTAATTCAATTTCTCTCTGCTTGCCATTTCTTTCGCAGTTGCACGCGTTGACAAGAGCAGCTCTAGCCACAACAACGGTAGCGACACGCCGTACCCAAGGCTTCCGTTGGCAGACAGCATGCGGCTAGAGCTGCTCTCTGCAGCCGGAAGAAGAAGCCACCGTGGGCAAGCAGGCGCCGCGCATTGAGACAGAAACGGCATTTCACCCTCAAGAGCATCGGGGGACTGGCTGTAGCTGCGCTCTGTCTGCAAGGAGACATCGCGACTGCAGCAGGTGAACAGTACAGCCTGAGTGACACTGCCTCAAAGACTCAGCAGCAGCATTGAGAGCTAGAACGTCGGCAGGCAACAGCAACACCATGGAAGTCGAGGAGGTGTTGCTACACGATGGCGTGGCTTCCCTGTTGCAGCAGCACGCTCAGGAGTTTGCTGCTGCAGAAATCAGCAACAGCAGCAGCAGCAACAGCGGAGGCGAGGCTTGCGGCTGCACCCATTGCCGAACCTCAGCGGAGTCTACAGCCAAGGTAAGAGCTTCTCTCGGCAGGTGCTGCGTGGCTGTGCTAGCGGGAGTCATTGAAGAAGGTGCTGCGGCAGCAACAAAGCAACCTCAGAAGGCGCAGCAGAAGCTGCAGCCAGCCAAGAGAGCGACCATCGTATCGTGCTTCAAGTTGCGGGAGTTCTCCGCTGCCGTTGAGGCTGAAGTCAAGCAGGAGCACCAACATCGGGAGAAGGAATTTCCTTCGCTGCTGCTGCAGCGTCTCGCCGCTGCAGCAGCAGCGCATCACAGCCTCTTGGTGAAAGACATCCGCAGCGTTAGAGCAGCTCTCCCCTTAGGTGTAGATATCTTGGGTGTATGGACACCCGTGCCGCTGCAGCAGCAAAAACAAGAGGAGCAGCAGCAAAAACAAAAGCAAGAGGAGCAGCAACAAAAACAAAAACAAGAGGAGCAGCAACAAAAACAAAAACAAGAGGAGCAACAGGAGGACAGGCTCCGTCCATTGTATCAGCTTGCGTCTGCGCTAAATACGGCGATAGAGAATACCCTAAAGGCAGTTGATGAAGATGAAGGCATACCCGATTTTTGCAATACTGCCAGCGGCAGCAGCTGCCTCGGCAGACACGATAAGGTTTGTTTTGTCGCAGTAGCGGCTGATGCTCCAAAGGAGCCATTGCAGCATACACAGGAAGATGTACTTGCTTCCCAGTTTGCAGCGTTCGATCTTTCGCGCGCGGGATCTTCGGCAGCGGCTGCAGGAGGAGCAGCGGAGGAGGGTGCCTTAGAAGCACAGCGAATACGAGTTCAAGTGGGGGATGTGCTGGTCAAGTGGCAAAGCACCAGAGGATGGTATTTGCTGCATTCGCGGCTGCCACTGCAGCTGATGCTCTCTGCTGAAGCAGCGGCGGGGTGTCTGCAGCAGCAGCAAATCGCTGCGTGCTGTTGCAGCAAGGGGTTGCTGCTGCCCTCTCTCGCTCCTGCTGCAGCGGAGGAGCTGCTGCAGCAGCTGCAGATGCAGACGCAGCAGCTGCTGCAGGAAGATGCTCTTTTCTTTCGTTTGCCAAATGGGGAGTGGCTGGCTCCAGTGGCTGCATCGCGGGGTAGCAACTCTGGCGGCACCGCTGCGGCAGCTGCGACAGCTACGCTAGGAGCAGCCTTCTCCGCTGCAAAGAAAGCTGCAAGACAGAAGCAGTGCGAAGGCAGCAGCGCGAATAGCCGCAGCCACAGGGGGACTGTTGCCAGTGAGTGCTCCGAGTTCGCTGTACAGCAGCAGCACTTCCAGCACGCCTTCTGCCAGCAGGACGATTCTCAAGAGGAGGAGCTGCCGCTGCCTCTGAAGGAGCTGACGATGCATATTCCAGCAGCGCGCAGACTCAGCAGCTGCACAGCAGCGGCAGTCGGTGCCTCCCTAATTTGCGCTGCTGCTGCAGCACCTGCCGCAGGAGGCGATTCGGAGCAAGCCTTGATGCCTGGTTCGGCAGTCGTTTATCCTGAGGCGTCTTTACGCGGAATCGAAGAAGCAGAAAAGCAGCAGCGTGACGTGTCTGTGTCGCAGCACGCCCGGGTGGCTGAACAGCGAGCAGCCGTCACAGCTTGCGGAAGTGAGAGCACCTGCCTCATAGCGTGCGATGTGTGTTTGCTGCTGCGGAGAGACACCCAGCAACAGGCGGCAGCAGATTCGCTCCTGCATGCGCTGCTGCTGCAGCTCCGCTTCCTTGGAGGGGCCTTGTCTCAGATGGCAGCAGCAGCCGCCGCAACTGCGAATGCAGATGCTTCTGATGGTGGCGGCACGCTGAAGAAGGGGGCATATGCAACGCAGCCTTTTCTCGTGCACTCTCTGCTGCTCGCGGACTGTATGGCCCCACACTTCTCTGTCTCTTTCTGCTCCTTTCTCCCCTGCCATTATGCCCTTCCCCTCACGGCATGCAGCACTGAACTGCCAAGTACGCGATCGCAGCAGCAGCTGAGGAGGCAGAAGCGCTGTGTTTCCCGCAGAACTGCACACCTTTTAGAGAGGGCGCAACAACGAGGAGGTGTTTTGCATGCCAGATCAGGGATGGCTGTATCGGTTGTATTTCTTTGCGGGGAGGGAGTAGAAGGGGAGGGGCCTTGTGTGGTGATGTGATGCGCTGCTGCAGCTCTTCGCACCCAGTGGCTCGACTTCTGCTGCGCGCGGGAGCTGCTGCCTTTCTTTGTTGCACAGCAGCGCGTGCTGCATGGCAAGGGCAGTAGCGGCAACAGCAAACTCGTCTCGGTGCGATTTTTCAGGATTCTTTGCAGAATCGAAGAAACACTTGAATAAGACGCAATCAAAAGCCTCAAAAGCCGTTTTCTCTGACTGTCGCTGCTGCTGTTTCTGCGCTCACAGCCTCATCTTGCCCTCTCGGCAGGACCGAAGGTTTTCCGCCGCGCTCGTGTCAGCCTTGTGCGAGGCCTTTGCGATTATTACCATTACATGCAAGTACGCGAGAGTTCAGATCGGCCTGTGTGTTTGGGCTTGTCGATAGCTGTTTTTCCTTTTGGGATTTGTGTGTTTCCCGGTGGCTCGTGCCGTTCGTCGCTCATAACGCTTGCACCTCCTGCCCGGTGTGCTCAAGAGACACTTTATCTGCAAGGATTTCGCTTTTTCTGCTGTTGCTGCGTGTTCCTCTGGCTGCTATCCTTCTCCTCCTCCAACGCGCCGCCTCTCTCTTTCTCCCACTGTTGCTGGCCCTCTGCGCACGTCTGTCTCCTCGCCTGGCACTCGCTTTGCTGCGCCGCAGGACAGCATGAAAGATGAAGGGTGGGGTTGTTGTTACTGCTCCCTGCGCACGGTGTGCTCCTGGTTCTTGAGGCAAGGCTACACCACGCGAGTAAGTGGGAGCGGGGGAAGTGCTCTGGCAGCAAAAGGCAGGGAGAGTTGAACTGAACGACATTGTCGTCTGACGGAGAAGGGCTGTGGAAGAGAAGGCGGGGGAGGGGGGAAAGGGGGGTTGCGGTGGGGAGTTCACCAGAGACATGCAAGCAAGTGCATGTAGAGGCAGCGAGCGAGTGCAGAAAACAGGATATTAGGTGGGAGTTTGAAGCATGAAACGCAGAGGCGCTGCATCGAGAGAAGCGCAGGCCTTGTCTCAGACCGATGTGGGGGCAAACTGATGGGTAGGTGGGAAGGAAGGGAGGTAGGGGAGGGGGGAAGAGTGAAGCGACAAGGGGGTCAGAGAGAGTCGTAGAGCGAAAAGTGGCAAAAAGAAGCAGAGGAGATACATGCATCTGCGGTATAGCACGGGGTGCGACTAGGGTTGCATTGAAAGGAATCGGATGCATTCCTCTTAGGAAACACAAGAAAGGGCGAATCAAAAAGAGAAGGAGTTCACACAGATCTGTCGGGGTAACAGCGCATGAAAGGATGCGAGAGACAGACGGAGGGCGACAGACCATAGAAATACGTTTTTCGCTGCGCTTCTTCTTTTAGCCGGTTCCTACACACTGGGATATCCAAAAGCTTCTCAAGGATAATGATGATGCATTCAGTGATCTACAGGTTAGCTCTTGCCCCACCTTCCAGGCCCCTCATTTTGTGTTTCTTGGAGCATATGTCTTTACTCTAGTGTTGCACCTTAATCTTAGCCCTGTCCGCCTTCCTTGGACTGTTGATGACGCGGCGTGTTTAATTTCTTTTTATCTTCTGGCCGTATATCTCCGTCGTGCAATTTATAACGCTTTTTCCGTGAAAACTAGCTGACTGAGGGGCTTCCATGCCATGCGCCACATGTTACTATGGCCAGTGGTAGCCGGATTCAGGTGTACAGACAGACACCCTGTCGCGACTGCCAAGCCGCTGTGACACGGAACGGATAAATGTTGGGTTCCCCCTTGCCCCCACCTCTTTTTGCTTTGCAGGTTGGATCTCCCCGATGGATTGGTACCATAGAGGCGCAATACGTGCTCAACTGGTACTTAGAGTTCGGCTGCCGCGTGATATACCTGCAGCACATGGAGGAGATTGAGGCTTACATGGGCCTCCTTTTGGCGCACTTTGCGAGGCAACAAACTCCAGTCATTATGGGTGTCGGACAGTTCGCCTATCTCCTCCTCGGAGTTGCACAAGATTTAGACACACGTCAGACAGAGCTGATATCGGCAACGATTTTGCAGCAGCATACACAAACACACACATACACACATACACTGCAGTGGAACTGGAATGCCTTCCTTTCCAAGTTTCTCCAGACTCCTCGCTTATGCATGCGCTTAAGCTTGTCTCGGCATGCGTTTTCTCTCCTGTTGAGTGCTACGTCTATTGCGCTCCTTAGTTTCCCTGCGTCTCGTTCTTCAGCAGCCCTCTAAAGTGTGTGTGTGTGTTGGCATTACTCGTGGCACCTCTCTCTTCGTGGAGTGGGGGAGGACGCCGGTTCACCACTGCCTATCGTGGAATTTTTTCGTTTCGAGGCTGCAGTCTCTTTCCTCCGTGCGCGCTCTATCTCGTTGCTTTTCTCTTGTGGTGGAGGGATGTCTGCGTCTCACAGGAGACGTGCAGTACTTGATCATGGATCCGCATTATGTGGGGCCTGAGGACGCCAAGCTCGTTAGAGACAAGGGATGGGTTGCATGGCAAAAGGCACGCTGAACGTGACTCCTCCCTCTCCCCTGTCCTCCCCTATGTGTATCTGCAGAAGAGTTGACAGCACTCCCATGTCCTCCTCGGTGTCTCTCTGCGATCTGCTTATCTGGAAAACTCCTCTGTGCCGTTATGCTTGTGCATTTTGCCGCCGCGGGGAGGTGCAGTGGGTCTGCGCCCTCTGTCGAACTCGCTGCTCTTCGCTACTCCGAGCATTCCATGCATGCATCCCGTGCATCAACGTGGCCTCATTGCATAGCTTGCGCAGACGTGGCTTGCCGTCGCTTGTGTATGTCGTCTGCCTCTCAACCTGTCTTTTCTCCCTCTGCCGCAGATAGACTTCCTCGAGAGAGCAGCGGCGGGCAGCTTCGTGAATTTGCTGCTGCCGCACACATCCACAGAGGACGGTCGCCTCGTCTTCTGAATTTATGCTGCTACGACAGCTACCCTGGCCGTCTCTCAGCTACTAGAGGACCTTGCAAACGCAAAGACGCGTCTTCAGCAGCAAGTGCTGCACAGTCGCACCAGGTGTTGCGCGACTCTAGTCTGCAAAACTCTTAAACTCAATGCCTCGTGGCCTTTAACATTGCCTCTACTCTTCGGCAGAAAGGCCTTAACGGTGGCTGGCCCCTGCTCTGCCATCCGCCTCCTATTCGGTTCCCCGAGTAGCGCACTAGCATCTAAAGCCTCACTGCCCCTTCCTACGTATTCTGAAATTCATCTCAAACCACATGTTTAAAAAACAGATTTACAGCAAAAAGTAGTGTTTCGAGATTCGAAGCGCTGCTTGATTTGTGACAAGTGCGGTGGTGCAAGCACTCTTCCAATTCTTCGCGAGAGGTGTACGTATGCATAGACTGTATGCATACGTTAGGCCTCGTGAAGCCAGATAGCTCGAATCAGACGACCCTACTTTACATTATGACTAGCCTTTGCGAAACTGTTTTCCCTTTGGGAGCCATGCGGAGCCACCCACCATCCACAGAACTCGAAAAAGAGACCCATGCTGTTGCCCCAGAGAAAGATCTTGCTAGAAGCAGCTTCCGATCAGTGCTGAGCTCCCCTGCATGTCAACGTTTGATTTGCTGTCCTTTGCACTGAGGAGGAGGGGATGTCGCTTTTCAAGCTTACAGCCCCTTAGACTTATGCTGTTTAATCCAATCTCCTATACGCAAGCGCCTTTTTTCCGCATCTTTATTTAGCTCTTCTTTCTTCTGCTGTACGTCTGGTCTTTCCATATACTCCTTCAGAACTATCTCTCTGCGCGTTTTCTCGTCCTTGGGTCCCGCTTCTACAAGACCATGTATCCTCTGTCTGACCTGTTCGCCCCTTCCCGGAGTTCTTGGTACATTCGGCGGTCCCTCTGCTGATCGACGATCTTGCTCCCTCTGCTCTATATCTCGCACCACCGAGCCGACTAGTGGGCCTAGTGCGCGACGGCCTAAGAGTCCTACGGCAGGGGCTGGGCCTGGGGATGGAGCCGGTGGTTGCGCCGGAGCGGGCTGAGGCGCACCTCCACCCAGTCCCTCGAAGTAACTCCGTAGACTCGGAACGCTAGAGGGGGGCGTTGGACCCCCGACCGCCCCCCCTGGGGGTGTGGGAGGGCCGTTGCCATCCTCATCCGAATCAGCAGGGTTATTAGATGCCTCTACGAACGAAGACTGTGACGCATTGGGGCCCCTCAGGGGCCCCAGGAGGCCGGCGGGTTTGACGCTAATCGCTGCCGCCGGAGACAGCAACTCGAAGAGCACGGCCGCCTCGACGGCCAACAAGCAGGTGACCCGCATCATTGTGAAATTGCTTCGTGCGGCGTGTGTGAAGGATTAATCAAACTCAAATGCTTCGTGCAGCGCGCGAATGCTTAATCTGACTCAAGGCTTTCAAAACTTCTCGCAAAATAAGAAGATACGCCGCACTGCAACGGCCGCGTCCATTGACAGCGCCGCCGCGGAGGCTTTCCAGCGGGTAGGAGAAGGCTTGCCGGTCTCGCAGCTGCCCGGAGAGCCGACAGGGCGGCTCTTCTTGAGCTGTCCTCTGTAAACTTTTACTAGCAATCCTAAAGCTTTTCTGGGCCCAAGTTTTCGTGGTATTAAAAAGATTAGACGGTGCACTTCCGGAGGCGGGGAAGCTACACGGCAACCGCAGTTCCCGGACCAGAACCGCTGACGAAAAAAACCAACGCACCGAGGAGGGACGTGGATCTCCCCCTAAGTGCCGGGAAACTTGTATCGTCCTTCACCAATCAACTTATTCCAAAACCACTCACTCAATTTCAAATAACTGTACTCACTGCGCAAGGTCCTTCCATGGGCACATCTACACGGGGCATTTTCTGCCTCTGGATTCTTGTTCTTGGTAGGCGCACTGAGTGCCAAGCAGTACTCGTGATAACTGAATCAACACCTTCCTGCTATTTGCAAGAATGTCTTTTTAGGCTCAAATAATCAGCATTGTCAAGCTTCAATTTGACAATTTGTAGGAAGAACTGTGAAGAGCCTGTGGCCCTTCGAGGTCAGTAAGGAGGACGTTCCAGGTGTGACGCTGCATGGTTCGGCAAAGCTGTTATCCCCTCATCCGCTTGCTGTACACGGGGTGGAATGCTCGTAATGTTTAATCTTCAGCATGTATATACATCTTTGAATCTCGGATCAACACATACTAAATACAAAGTTTTGAGTTTTTCAAAACACTACCTGCTCACCCCTAACGGCGCCCCTCTCTGTTACCCCCATGGACAAAAGAGGGAAGGCTAGGGTGCACGTTGCTGCACGCTCTTTGAATTCCAAACATTCACACATAGTTGTTCATAGCATCTATTGCACACACACACACACACACACACACAGACACAACAAAACATTGAGTCTTCTGATTCCGAGGAAGTAGTGCTCTGCAATAAACTAGACGTACATACAGACAAGAACTTTGTCAACTCTCCACGCTTTCTTACCTGTACATACCTTACCTAGTGTAAAGGCTCGAAGTGCAGCGAATCCCGGTGCACCTCCCCTGCATTATTTCAAAGCAAATGCCCGCTTGCTTCGTACCTGTCATTGAGAACAACTGCGTGCCAGAGAGCGAGAGAGTTTCCGCCCTGTCACCACTACCCAGACACCCCAAAACAGTGCGTATCTGAATGCGAAGTGTGCGTATTCCAGTACGGAGACTTAAAAGAAGAAAAAGACTAACACACCAACCAACATGAACAAGGGAGCAAGCCAGCACGGCCTCGGCGGCGCGACAGCTCGCTGTTTTTGGAGCCCTGAAACGTGTGAGCCTCCTGCTTGAGGCAGCCGAAGGCAGGGAAAATGTGTAGAGGGAATTCAAAATCCATGCTAATACAGAATAGCCTCCGCGCCTCACCGAGAAGTCTCTGCAAGCAAGTGGAGCCAGTGAATGCAGCACAGTTCATCTCTAGTCCTGAAAAGACACATTGGGAGTATCGTTGGGCCAAGATACCTGGAAGTGCCTGGGTACAAATTTGAGAGCGGAGAACACACAGGCAGTATTTACAAATGAAGGCCGCTATATCGGGCAGAACCTCCTTCGGGGTAGGACACTTACCAAGACCTGTGGGGAACCGTCCATGGTGACTAGTGCTGTAAGCTAAACAAACAGCCTGCATTCTGCATCAGACAACAGAGCTTGTAAGGGCTCTTCTGGCAGCCACTGAGCTTGACGTTACCCACCCCACTTCACCAAAAATCCCCCTAAGGAGTCCTATAACCCGTCACATTTAGGACGCCACCCTTCCACTCCCACAGAAGTCATATGCCTGCGTGGAGAAGTCAGCAAATATCCAGGCAGTTCGGAATTTTTGTTTCGGAGGCCAATATTCATAGTTCTGTGGAACCTCCAATTTTAGGGAAAAAAAAGCCGGAAAAGAACATTGATTCGTGAGAGGATGGCATGTGGTCCTAGCCACCTGGCCACAAATATCTTTGCTTGGCGGTCTTCCGCTGCACCTTGCAGAACGTGCTGACCTACCACCACCACCAGAAGAACACACCAGGCCGACGCCTTCCGTATGTTCGTGCTAATCTCTCTTGCGCTTTGCGCAAAGATTCGCATGCACTGACCAGCTGTTTTCTGAGTCAAATAGCCATAGATGGGTGATGATCCCACACCACCAAGTGCAGCCTGGATCGGAGGGGAAATGGCCAGAGAAGACAACGGAGGGTGATAGCGGGTGGACGAGTGTGCTGTGGTATCATGAGCCCGCCGAGCACACAGAATATACCCAAACCAAGAAGTTGACTTTTGTAATCATAGAGCCGCAAGTACACTGAGTGGGCTTTGTGTGCCGTTCTGCTTCAGGGTCGTTCGCAGTGATAAAATGTTGGCCATTGTCTACTCGCCGTCATGGAGCATGCTACAATGCACATAGGAACTTCGAACGCCTGTTCATAGTAATACTTACATGATTTTCCTGGAGCTCTAAAATGCGTGTTAAGATTAATTGAGCGACTTGCTGGGACGTGAACGAACTGGAGCAGAGGATAAAATGAGCACATTTGCTGAGTCTGTCAAAACCTACATAGATGAATTCTTGACCCTTGACCTCCAGCAGTCCAAAAGTAATTTGTAGTTGGGTTAGTCAAAAGCACTTTAGGAACTAAATGGCTTTGTAGTACACCGGGGAATACTGCGCTGCATTAGCTTCTATGAATCTGCCCATGGAAGTGCTTCCTCCTCTGCTGGAAGACGCATCCTAGGCCACCAGAAGGACCTTGTTTCCCTTGTAGAGTGAACCACGCCATCGTTTCGAAATACTGAATCATGTGTTTTGCATAGAACGGCATTGCAGGGTGAAGTCAGAATGTGGAACCGATGAAGTCCTGGCGTTGTTTGAACCTCAGCAAGCCACTCTCACGTTGTTTGTGCTTCGCACTTGTACCATTATAGTTATGGATGGGGGTAGATGCATAACAGGCATGCGATTTCAGAAGCGGCCCTGGAGCCTACTACACAAGAGCGGTTGTGATGCACAGTAATGAACCCCTGAGGCATTGCGATAGCGCATTCGCGACCACATTAGTGATGCCCCTAAATGCTACGCTTCATTGCATAGATGTGCCACACCGGGCACCCAATTCAGCGAAGAGTTTTAGATTTATCAAAGCCATGGTATATTACAGACTATTGCTCAGCCCGGACAGCAAAATGGCATCCAGTTAAACAGTGGCAGCATGCTTTTTCATGTCCATCACAACGTAAAAGGTGTCTTGATTCGGCACTGAATAGCGCTGATTGGTTTCGGTGAAGCGATAAAAATTGCGAACAATAGTATGGCGTTTTTGAATCTATAGCCTGCTGAGGGGGAATAGCACCTACCGCTACGTCACTGCACCTTGTACGAAAAAATCAAGCGCACTATCGGGCGGCCCAGATGTGCCTTTGCTGCGATACTAGCCTCTTCTATAGAGCTCATAGGCTGCGATTCCAAAGCTTATTAGTCAAAGGAGCCGCGATCCAAGCAAACATATGAATGAGACGAAATTTCGGTAATAGTATGGAAGATCGCACAACATTGCACTGTCCTTGAGGGGGGCAGAGGCAATTTCTACTGATTTGCATTTCGATTCTCTCTACACATTTTCCCTGCCTTCGGCTGCCTCAAGCAGGAGGCTCACACATTTCAGGGCTCCAAAAACAGCGAGCTATCGCGCCGCCGAAGCCGTGCTGGCTTGCTCCCTTGTTCATGTTGGTTGGTGTGTTAGTCTTTTTCTTCTTTTAAGTCTCCGTACTGGAATACGCACACTTCGCATTCAGATACGCACTGTTTTGGGGTGTCTGGGTAGTGGTGACAGGGCGGAAACTCTCTCGCTCTCTGGCACGCAGTTGTTCTCAATGACAGGTACGAAGCAAGCGGGCATTTGCTTTGAAATAATGCAGGGGAGATGCACCGGGATTCGCTGCACTTCGAGCCTTTACACTAGGTAAGGTATGTACAGGTAAGAAAGCATGGAGAGTTGACAAAGTTCTTGTCTGTATGTACGTCTAGTTTATTGCAGAGCACTACTTCCTCGGAATCAGAAGACTCAATGTTTTGTTGTGTGTGTCTGTGTGTGTGTAATAGATGCTATGTACAACTATGTGTGAATATTTGGAATTCAAAGAGCGTGCAGCAACGTGCACCCTAGCCTTCCCTTTTTTGTCCATGGGGGTGACTTAGAGGGGCGCCGTTAGGGGTGAGCAGGTATTGTTTTGAAAAAGACTCCAGAACTTTCTGGTGAGTGCGTGTTGCGTGAACAGGTAGGTGACTCCCCAAAGGGACTTCTGATAGATTGTTGCAATAGTAGTGGCTTAGTTACCTACACCGAACAAAGTTGCTGTGATATGGGGTGATCCCGAGTGTTACTTCAATAGAAAATTTTTGCAGACACCAGATTCTGAGGTCAATAGTGCAATGAATCTTCATCAAGCCACCGTAGTATTGTAGCTGCTGCGGAAAGGTTTCTTGACGTGTCACAGCATTCCATAGCTTCTCTTGGTTGAGGGCTTAAAGCTCGACGAATTGCAATGACATGCGTGCGATGTGCTCACCCAAGGCGATGGCAGCTGATTTGTTGCTGGCTAGATGCAAGTGGCCATAGAAGCAGGACTCTCCTTCACACCCAATCGTCAAACAGTTTGAAAAATATTTTCCTCTGAAGAGCCACGCAAACTGTGCAGATGCCTAGCGTACCTCTGTTACATTACTCCCAAAAAAGTCAGGGACTGCATGCGAAGAAGCCCCATCCAGGAGCACTCCGCTCACTCCGCTGACCACCACCATGGCCAGAAG